CACTTGCTGCTGTCAGAATCACTAAGGCCAGGACATTGGACTGACTTGTGAAAGCCGCCAAAACAATTGTTGTCACCTGAAGGGTCCTCTGTTGTGATATTTTATGTCTTGTTACTTTGTACTGGATGTGGAAAGGGTGCAATGATGTCAGTGTGCATTCTGGAGGGAGCATGTCAAAAGTTGGGCTGGGAACTTGGATACTGGTCAACTTATTGAAAGTGAGGGGGCGAGCACGTTGGGCTTAAAAAATCAGACCGTCTGGTCTGGCTTTCTTGGGAGGGAACCTCTGTCTGTCAGAAAGGAATACGGCTTAGAAGATTGCTCGGCGCATTATTTAGGTTATTGGAGTGATTTAGTTTCCTCATGAAATGTAATAAAATGAATTTCGCTCATTGTGGTACCATAACTGCTGAGAGATCATTATGCAAACATGTTTTTCTTTAGAGCAATAGGTTATTTAGTTTGGAAAGTTGTTGCTTCAGCATGACTTTTAAGAGAAAATTGACACCACGAAATTTAAAAAGTGATTAACAGTATGCATGTTCGTGTGAAATTACCCACCCATTAATTCATCTTGTAAACTGCATCTCACTCTGTAACCATTTCAAACGAATTCTTGATTAAGAAAATCCTGTTCGATCTTTGTAGGTTTGAAAATGATTTTCACGGCTTTTCCCCACATTTAATATAAGCTTCACTGAGTAGGGTTCGTGGATTTTTCTTGTGTTTTGAAATCGTTCATAAAATAATTGTCTAAGAATTTCAAACAGACTCTTTTCTTTTGCCAAAACAATTACACACAAACCAATCCTTTTTATCTTTCCCTTACAAACAGCCTTTTCAGTCCAGTTAACTTATCTCTAGTTTTAAATCCAGTGCTGGATCTCCCACTCATTTGACCGTCGATGGTTTGAAAAAGCAAAAAAATAGTTAGTGGCCTGACGTTTCAACCCTAGCAGAGTCTTTCTCGAAGGCTGAAAAAGGGAACAAAAACAGGGGTAGATCCAGCTTTGGTTGGGGGGGGGGGAGTTAGCTGTCAAGGGAGGAAGGGGGTAGACCCCTAACACCCCTCTCCTCCGCCACTAAAAGTTTTAGTGGCGGAGGAGAGGGGTGTTAGGGGTCTAAAACAGGAATACACATTTATCGGGGCAGATACTCGCCTCGACTCTGGCCAGAGCTTGATCTGTTGTCAGCCCAAGCTGGCTATGAGGGGGAGACAGTTAGGCTGGCAGCATTGACAGCTATGGGATTGGCCCCTCACTGACAAGACCTGACCCACAAGTCCATGATGACTCCTACATTGTACAAGGAGGTGTAGCCTTTCTGCCTGAGTGACAACAAGTAAATTCCACGTCTCTCAGAAGGATAGACAGTTCCAAAATACTTACCAATATCTTTGTTCTAAGGCTTTCTAATTGCTTCAAATCTTAATTTTTTTTTCTCATTTTGAGGGGGGTATATAATGTAGTATTTTGTTAACTTTGCATAATTAAACCATTAGCACCTATGCTACGTTGTATTTATTTATTGAAAAATCCACAGAATTATGTAGTGCTTTAGGGCCATAAAGGGCCATTGATTTTATTTTTTGGATTTTCGAAAGAGCACATGGTGTTTCACTTGTACACTACCATGTTATGTTTGACTGCAAAGATACTCTACATAATGTTCAACCTATATTGCCAGACATAGTGCAAAGTCTGCCTGGAAATTATGCACATGGTACCTCGTAAATTTGACGGAAAGAATGTTGCTCGTGATGCCACTTTTTCATGATATATTATCTCAGTGAACGTCAGTCATAATCGCAGAAATGTTTAAAAGACATGAATCTGGGACTGAGAAACCTTTTCCAATTTTGTTAAAAAATACTTTGAAAATGCACTCGACTCTCCATAGACTTTGCACACAACCAAAGAAGTGGCATCTGGATATGACACTCTTTAACATTTGACTGTCTGACAAAATATGGAGGGAATTCTGAGTGTAAAATGATAACTTGCTGTTTCAGCCAAATTTTACAGTGTAAACAATGCACTTTTAGAGCTGACATTTCAGGAACATGTTGCAACAGACTAATCTAGCCATGTGAGTTTTCGGTCACCCACAAATTGTACGTGTTGAAATGTAGATTGAGATTTCTTGGCTGGATTAGCTGGTGAAATTCCACTGTGTGTCATGTTTCCTGCCCCAACTTGGCCCAAGTCTGTTGTACAGCGACACAAAATAATCCAGCTGTTGTTAAACACATGGGCCATGGTTTGCACTGCATGAACAGTAGTTACTAACTCCTACTGTGCTTTGTAGAGAGTTTTCTCTGAAATGGCTGCGTGTACAGAGCAGATGAAACCGCTCAAAGTTTTGACAGGGTCAGGAGGTCAACACTAGGGCCATTGCTCAAAGTCAATGGCCCCAAGACAGCAGCGCTGGGCCTCCAATATACTGACTCTGACTTGTGCATTGTCCAAGTATGGATCGCTGGAGGTGACCCCGGCTCAGGTCATGAGCTCAACTTTTAAAGGGACAATGTATAAAGTTGGTGTTAGATTGTTTGTGAACATGTACTTGGATTAATGCATGGATTTTGTCGACTGTGGGAGATTTATAGATCATGTGTCCAGGCCTTTGATGTCCTACCAAAGGGCTACCAACAGGCAACCGAGGGAAACCCAAACATTCATTTAAACATCTTTTACATGTTATTTTACCCAAATAAAACAGTTTATGTCCCTACTTTTTACACCGATCCCATTTCAATGAGAGGTACTCCCACAGCGCACGGCAGAAGAGAACAGTTTGCAGAAAGTTGGCGTCACATGACCACAACATCCAATTTGTAAACAAATGTAACATGGTCTATATCATAGGAAGTCAACAGTAGCTTCAGTGCTTATTAGACCGTATCCACCATTACAAAACACAACATTTGTTGGTACCATTTCTACCACTAGTTGAATGGATGCAAATTCTCTGCATGATTTCATTCCTGGAAAAGCAAAGCCCAGCTGCCTCCCCTCCCCCCCCCCCCCCCTCCAAATAAAACAATCTGGTTTTAAGGCTCATCGGTTTCCATAACACACCCAGCCTGACCTTAAAAACTGCTTGGAACCAGTACCGGATTAACAAAAACAGTGGCCATGCCTTGTGGTGTTTTTTGGGGGACAACTTAAACTTTTTAACTTTAGAGATTTACATGTTAAGACCACAAATAATTTGAATTCTTTTGGTTGACCATTATCAGATCAGAATCTTGTTCACTTTTACAGTATGATTTCTTTCAACAGCAAAAGGATGTATTAAGTTTTGAAGCGTGTTCCTAGGGACCATAAAGCAGATTAAATTTAGACTGATTTTGGACATTTGTAACACATTGTGAGACAATGTTATACATGTGTCACACACAAGACACATTGAATCAGAGGACAGATAATATTTTAAGAGCATGTCCTGATTTTTGGCGGAAAAACAGGCTTGATATTTTTTTTGTATTTTATCGCTGCACCGTACACTATCAGGAAAATTGAGAGTGATTAAATAAAGAAACCCTATTAAGTATTATCTGCTGAAAATGTTTGTTCATTGTTGATAAGGCACATGTTGAATTCATTAGTCCTATGTTGTTGAGTTGTATTTGAAAATGAAAAACTTGGTTGAATAGCTTGTATGCTCATGTTTCAGTGTCACTAGAGGGCAGCATATGTACTCAATAGTTGACCCGGAAATAGACGAACCACTTATTGGTTTTGGGGACAATTAACTATTGTTAGGAAAACATTTTAAAAACAAGATATGCTGGCATTTAACATTTCTGGGGGAAAAATGGGTTGTAAAACATTTAGTGAGTCGGTTTGTCTACATGTTTGAAAATAAGTCAAGCTTTTCATTACATGCACTTTTCACCTTGCATGCACCCAATTTTTTTTAATGCTTTGGGCACTGTGTGTTTCTGACTTGTAAATTTTCCTTATGATGGCAAAGTGTGTTCATAAGTCTGTCGTCATGTACACATTATATTTTCAAGTAAGATGTGATTTTCTCGTTCCATCCTTGGAGCCGCATTATAGAACTGCGCACATGCCTACAAATAGCCAGTCACGCACCAGAAACGCACACGCGCTGCACTTCTTGTAGCCAAGTACCACAACCACACACATATTACATGTTTGATACATTCCACAAATATAGACATATTTGGATTTCATTTTCTGCTGCAAACATGGGCGAAACCCGACACTGTGCAAATGAGAGGATTGCTGAATATACAGATTGTGTTTGCCTCCTTCTGCCAATGTCTACAGCGTGTGTGTTTTCCCCTACTCTTAGATCTGTTTGCCCATGGTCTACGATCTTCCTTGTGCGTCTATTTGAGGGAGGGATAAAAATCACTGATTTCTTTTTTTTATCGTTGGAAAATCTGAAGCTGTTGCCTTGATTAAATCATGGATAAATTGCATAGCTTTGGCTAGACTTAAATCGCTTCATTCCTTCGAGCAAGTTCGGCGAGGACAATTACTCAACTAGTGGATTATTCGTGAGGCAACTTGCGCTTGTGCACTAATAGCAATGTGCGAACACACTAAACTTGTTGGTCCTGGCTCCCTGCTGCACTTTATGATGCGCACGGCTATTGGTAACCAGTGACACAGCTGTGCCCGGCTTTGGTTCCAAATAGTCGACCAGAGTAGTCCGACCATCCTTCATTCGAGTGAAGTTAGTCAAACTATGGTTAACTATAGTTTCACTCAAACTTGCTCTGTGAGCATCCTACTCTGGGGAACTCTTAATATGGGTTCATGTTCCACTTAAAGAGCATTAAATCCTGTCATATGATACAAACAACTGGAGTAAATCCATTTGGTTTGTACATAAAAGGCTTTTCAATGATTCTTACGCCAGATATGAGGCAGAAACTGAAGACAAAGCCATGTTTTTGTTGTTTTATAACCAAACTTTGATCAAACCTTGATACATTGATTCTAATTGACTGGGATTTGTTCTGTTTTCTCATCTTTCTACAGTTTTAAGTATTCGAGGGGCACAAGAAGAGGAACCACCAGATCCCCAACTGATGCGACTAGACAACATGCTTATAGCGGAGGGTGTAGCCGGGCCAGAGAAGGGCGGTGGCTCCGCGGCGGCCGCAGCAGCTGCAGCAGCTTCGGGTGGCGGGCCGGGCCAACCAGACAACGCCATCGAGCACTCAGACTACCGGGCCAAGCTGGCGCAAATCAGACAGATCTACCACACCGAGCTTGAGAAATATGAGCAGGTGATTGAAGAGAAACGTTGTTCAACCAGAGATGAGATTCTTAATTAGTTCTTCCCTGCTGGCTTGTAATCAGTTATTAATTTCTCTCAAACGTGGGAGTATGCACGCCTTCCCAACGTAAAAGCAGAATATTAGGATTTGTCGCACAGATTTATTGAAAGTGCATGCAGATATTGAGAAAAAAAAACCTGACATTTGGAAACAGATATTTACATTTTCAGCAAATCTAACATTTTAGAATATGTTGAAGACACTTCAATTACCAGTGAATATCACAACGATTATAGTAATTACCGAAAATGATACCTTAGTTTACAAAAAGTTGTCCATGACCCCATTGGTAAATTGTTGACATCATAACTGTACTGACAGTAACATGGGAAACAAGCATTCAAACTTCTAAGTAAATGACCGAGTGTCAGCGAAAAAACCATGTATCTTCTCCACATCATAGTTCCTTCTGTTCTTTGCCCTTTCCTCCAGCAGGCCTGTAACGAGTTCACCACACACGTCATGAACCTCCTGCGAGAGCAGAGTAGGACGAGACCCATCGCGCCCAAGGAGATCGAGCGAATGGTCAACATCATCCACAGAAAGTTCAACGCCATCCAGGTCCAGCTGAAGCAGAGCACGTGCGAGGCGGTCATGATACTCCGGTCCAGGTTTCTGGACGCAAGGTGCGTTGAACACCAAATTTTGATGTGCAATTCTGGCCAATTGGGTTTTTTTTGGGGGGGGGGATCTTTGTTGTTGGGGGGGGGGAGGGGCCATTTTGAATTTCAATAGCCATTTTGAATTTGAAGGGAGGAGTATGACCTCATCAGATGCTAGTGGCACTCTTTTTCCTTTTTTTTTCTTTTCGTTCGTTTATTAATATTGCATAAATCTGGGGAGGAAAAGGGTATGAGTTATCTAAAAATTTATTTCAAAATGGTCACCTTCACCCCTCTAGTTTTATTTATTTATTTTAAAAATTGTCTTTTTGGGGGGGGGGCTGTAGTCCCCTTCACCCCCTGCATCTGTTGTTGGAAAAAGTGGACGTTTTCCGTCTTCAACAACAGAAGATGCAGTTAACTCTATTAGAGCAGGAGAAATAATGTACATGTAGTCAGCATGCAGACGTCTCCAGACATCAATGGAATGTGAACGCGGTGGCCGCATCGGCAGTTATGCCTCAGTGGAGCCGACTGCGTTCACCGCGCACACGACTGTGGTCAACACGTTCTGCATGTATTTCAATGACAATGGGGCTGTTTGTTAGTCAGTTGCATAAAAAATATTGCATTGATATGTTAAGTAGGCAGAAGCTAGAGCTCGATATTGGGCTCGTAACTAAGGTTTGGAAAAACCGTGATCATTGCGGTCAAAACGCGGTTACACCTTTTCGCAAAGGCGCCTAAAATAAGGCCATGATCAGAACAGACAGAAAGTTACAACACATTGGAAATAACCCCGGGTAGTGAAAACATGCGAAACAATATTTTTGATTTCTTCTTTTTTGGGGGCTATTTTGCAGGAGGAAAAGGAGAAATTTCAGCAAGCAAGCGACAGAGATCTTAAACGAATATTTCTACTCCCATTTGAGCAACCCATACCCCAGTGAAGAAGCGAAAGAGGAGTTGGCACGGAAGTGTGCGATAACGGTGGCACAGGTGAGAAAGGGGCATATTCATTTCTACTACATTACACTATAATGGGTTCCATGCGTGAACAAGAGAGGGCGCTGTTTGACCGCTTTAGAATGTGCACAAAGACATAGTGTCTTCACGTGAGCATCAGGCATCATCAGCAATGTGTTAAATGTCTCTCCCACTCTCCTCAAACTTACCCTTTCTTGGCGTTGAGGGGGTACTTTTGCACAGAGCCCATACATGCAATTTCAGGCTTTGCATGGTTTAGAGTCTATTTTGGGAGAGGTTTGCATATACACCATATGAAGTTACTATCTCTGGAAGAGATTTTGTTATGAGAATAACCCAAAAACTATTACCTTGGTCTTAACACATTGTTTCTGTCGCTATGCTCTGACTGCCATCAGCAGAAATACATAATACACTTTCATACTTTCCAAAATCTTGGTGTTGGACATAGGTCAAATCCATTCACACTAAGCAAGAATCCAAAACAGCTTCTACATGGGTCCAATGCTTTACATGGGAAAGTTAAGGTCTGGTCCAGACCAGGGTTGAGATGAATGTATCTATCCATGTAGAAAATCCAAGGTCTATGGCTTAACCATGGTCAAACTTGGGTAAGTGTGAATGTATGCCTTGTCATCACTGTTCAATCGGAGCTGGTTCTGCTCACAGTTTATTTCAACATGGGTAGACAAGACGTTAATGTGAAAATGGCTATAGACTCTAAAGTGTGTATGATTTGTATGTTTTTCTCTCTGCGTAGGTTTCAAATTGGTTCGGCAACAAGAGAATTCGCTACAAGAAGAACATCGGCAAGGCACAGGAAGAGGCCAATCTCTATGCAGCCAAGAACGCCGCGGCCGCGGTCTCGGTGGCGACGTCACAGCACGACGGCAACCAGAGCCAACCGCCCTCGGCGCCCAGCACGCCCACGGGCAATGGTAGCAATCCCGGTAAGGATGAGGGGGCTTTATGGGTTTAGGGGGTTGCATGGATTTGGGGGTAGTAATCCTGGTAAGGATAGAGGCCATGGGGGTCTCTGGGTTTAGGGTGCCAGTATGGGATGAAGGAAGCATTTGTATGGATTGAGGGTGGGTCTAGGGTGATGCATGGGCAATGAGGGGGGCAGTGATGGCAACCCTGGCAAGGATGTTGGGTGTTCTGATGAGATAAGGGTGTTGGGATAAGATTGGGAAATGAGGCAATGGTAGGAACTCTGGTATGAGATGATGTGGCATTTGAAAGGACTAGGTTGATGAGCCTGGATGAGTAAGAATGGAGGGTGTTCCTTGATCTAGGATGATCTAGGATCATACTCTATTGGGGTTGGGGCCACTTTAGTGGTACAGGGTGCACAAGTAGGGAGTCCCTGTGTGTAGGCTGCTGTGTTAGGACTGGGAGGCAGTGGTCATCCCAGACAGGATTGAGGGATATTCCCTGGTTTCATGTTATGTTCTGTACCATGAATTAGTATTTGTCTAGGTCACTGGCAAGAGAGGCTAAAAAGACCATAATTCTATTATTAAAGGTAGAGTAGATCATTTGCAGCTATCCAAAAAGTAACTGACGATATTGTTGTTGAAAACCTTACTTGGCTCGAAGATAGTAATGGCACTGAACTCCCTGTGAAATTATTCCTTCTGGTATACTGTGATTTTAAAGAAAGCAATCAAAGAAGGCAATTTCCAAAGATGCGTTGTGACGCTTTTGGGGAAGTTTCCGTTAGTAGTTGGTTTGTAATTTGCCAAATCCGTGAACGGGTGCACGCAAGCGTTGACACGACCCACATGTGCACGCGGGTTGCTATTATTCGTCAGTTCAGTGCGTGACATCACTTGGCTGCAAACAGCTGAATGAGAATGTGTCCTGGATGCTGATTTCAGGCACAATTCAAAACATGACTCTGCAACTTTTGAACTGAAATCGAGTTGCTAGAATATTGTGTTCTTGACCTAAAACTTCATCATGTTAGTCACCCGTCTTTTTCGAGCACTTTTGTTGCTTCAAAGGAACAAAAATGCACAGAGGACAAATGATCTACCCTTCCTTCAAACAAATTGTGTGAGGGCAATGCCAATGCTCAGATAAGTTGGATTTAGGTGAGGTTTTTAAAGACACAAGGTAGGTTTGAAGCAACTTTAAATCTGACTTACTTTGTGATTGTATTTCCTTTCCTCCAACCCCACAAACTTTCAGGTTCAGGAGGGTACATGTCATCCCAGAGCCAAATGGTCAGTCAGGAAGGCTCGTTCATGAACCTCCAGAACGGAGACAGCTACAACATGGCCAACCAGGTCGGCGCCAACGTCCAGTCACAGGTACACTACTGACACACACTCGTACGCTGTAAGCTCCTTCAGGGGTCATTTTCTTTCTCTGTCAGTTTTTTTTTTCCGATCTTCATCAGAGTGGTCATTGCCATTTGGTTTTTTTTTTCATCGTCATTTTTCATTGAGATTTGTGTGTGTATGTGTGTGATATAGAGCTATAGTTTCTATGCATGATCCTCACATCTTCAATGTAACGCATTTCTTACTGTTGTCATGCATGCCAACTTAACCAGTTTGCGCCGGGATTATTTTGACATTGACCGAACCCAGGCACAGGATTGTTTTCACAAACCTCGATACCACATGGGTTCAGGCCGTCATCTGCGGATAGCACACCCGGATATTTCCAGTCTCGCTCGCTGTGAGCGGGTTGCAGACAGATATTTCCAGCCTCGCTCGTTGCGTGTTTGTCCGTCATTTGTTTTGAAACCGCAAAACCTTTGCATGTATACACGTCATATGACGTGAACTGGTTCCCACAGTCATGGAAAAAATCCTGGAAAATCCTGGAAGTTTGTTATTTTACGAGGAGTCCTGAAAAGTTGATATTCTAAGAAAAGAAAGTCATGGGAAAAGTCATGAAATCCTGCACAACCCATTATGTGATGATGCATAATATTTGTCTGTGGCAGTCTTCCAGTTTGCAATTACTTTCTCTTTTGCTCTATACTTTCTAATGCTTTTGAGGTGCTCAGTGGTCTTGTGTCAAACTGGAAGGCTAAAAAGGGAGCGACGTCCTTTGCCTCCAGAGCAACAGGCTCCTAAGACGACAAAACAGCGTAGGAATTAGTCATGGAAAGCCCTTATTTTGTCCTGGAACGTCTGTCATGGAATTTCATATTAAAATTCCTGACTTTTGGCTTTCCAAATCTGTCCAGAATTTTCAGACACTATTTGTCTCTCTTCAAAGGTTCTTGATATTATGTTTTGTGTTTTGCAACCTGTGCTGGTTTTCTTAAATGTCTTGAAAAATTGTCGTCAGCTCTTCTTTGTCACGCTGCTCACTTTTATTTTCCTCATTCCTTGACCCTTTCTAATTTGCAAAAAAAATCCTTATCACTCACATTGATACTGATATTTTTAATCTTTATCTTGGAATTTTCATCTTTATTCTAGACCTAGACATTTGTGAAAACTTTTCCAAATCTGAATACTTTTTTATTTTAAATTCCACAAGTTTCATCCTAATATCACCTGCCAACTAACATTTATTTTTGCTCTAATCAGCAACATTAATTTCAGTTCATTTTGTCCTGTTATACATTGTCTTAATATTTATTATAATTGTTTGACAAGTTAACTTGAAAAGTACATGAGTGATTTGAATGATTCTTATACTAAAAGATAGCTTATGAATTGGGCTTTCATATCCTAGATTTTGAAAGTGCTACATGCAGAATTTCACTAAAACAAAAGTCCCAACATTTGGGCTTCGCTTTTTTTTTACTCGCCCTGTACTATAGAGAGAGCACATGGTTCCTAACAATTGATAAAATCCTCATTTTGGAAATCAAAAAAGTTGCACCCCCCCAAAAAAAATAAATAATCATAATCTGTATTCACCTACATTTGTTGTTTTACTTCAACATTTGTCGTTACTTGTTCTTAGCCCCCAAATATGAGAAAAATGAATAATAGATTTGTTTTCCTCTCCGTTTTTGTTTGTTCTCACCCAGGTAGCTAGCCTGAGGCAGGTCATATCTCAGACAGGGGGCTACGGTGGGGACTCCCTACCCCCGCACACCCAGCCCCACTCCATGTATGACCCCAGCATGACCCAGTATGCCAGCCAGCACGTGTCAGGCCGCGCCAGCGGGGGTGAGGTGGTGGGCGCGTCGTGACGGTCGCCAGGCGAGACATGGCCATGAGTCTTTAGGGGATTGATTATAACAAAAAAAAATGTGCCACCGATTATTTCCTCGCATTGAACTGTTGCAAAAATTGGTTTTGAATCACTTCACCAAAAAAAGAGAGACCGAATGGAGTTTGAATTCGCTACCACAGCATTTTCTGAATTGCCAAATGATGTATACAGCTATGCTTCATGCAACCAGCTTTTTTCGAATCAGCATTAATGTCTCGTCCGATCACCGAACCCTGCTGGGCATTTGGAACTCCTGCATTTGTGTTAACTTCGACATGATTTTTTTTTATGCCATCTGCTTGAGACTTTTTCTTGGAAAGGGGTTTGAATCAAGAACTGAAATCAAGAATTGTGGTGCCAGATACAATTGCTTTCGTCTGTGGAAACGGGATTGAACGCACCTCAGATAATGAGTAGATCGCTGAGTGCTCAGCTGGAGAAAGTTGGAGCCCTTCTCTCTTCTCGTCAAGGGGGTACCGCCCAGTTTTCTTAAAAAATTATGGGACAAAGGAGGGAGAAACACCATTTTTTCTGTGTTTGTAGTCCTCACACGTGTTAATCTTGTCAGCAGAGGAAAGTCCAATAACACTGTATGCTGCCCTCTATTGCTGTCATGTAGTCAGCCCACGTGTACGTATGGTATTGTATGTTTCCAAGGCTAAAATCTGAGAGACAAAAAACATGGCTACTTTTTTTCATAAACTGCATTTCTGGACATGTTTAAACCTGAATAAAGGTACCCATGTTGGTGTGATGGTGATTTGTGAACGAAGCATGAAATAATGTACAGTTTCAGCGAAAAAAATCCCCCAAAACGAAAACACAATTTGAGGACTTTCATGAAAGACAAACAAGCTTGTCACAAGTTGTCTGCAACATTTTTTTGCCAAAATTCTCAAATTTTTTTTACAATGTCAAATTTATCAAATGAATAGTTGGTACCAAGTTGTATTGGTATTTGCAGAGTTTGTGCTCTTACGAACACAAGCTTTAGTACACTATCACTGCTTTCAGTAATAGTCAAGTGTTTATTGCTTTGCTAAGAATGTAAATGGCAGACAAGTTTTAGTCTTAAAAAACAAGTTGTCGTTTTCAGAGGTTCATTTGACAAAAACAGAGAAGCAAGAAAACCGAACTTGACTGGTTACTTTCAAGTATGTGAAGTCCAGCATCAAATGCCATATTCAACTGTAGAACATTGTCACCCATCTTAGAATCTAGCGTGCATATATGTGTGTTTGAAATATACTTCACAGTCATAACATGGTTGTCATTTTTTTTTCAGGTTTTTTGGTGAAGTGATGTATTCAGTATCAATAATCAAAATCTTATCAACACTTTGTGTATTCCACCTTGTTTATTTTTCAGCTTAATTCTTATTTTTTAATTAAAAATGTGCCATTACTTTTTAATTTAACTGTTCATAATACTCCTGTTAATATTGAAGTATGGAAAAGTGTGAAAACTATGCGTGCATGTTAAAAAGATGTAGGCATTTTTAAAGTTGAACTTTTCGGAAACTTTCAATTTTTCATCATTTTTTTTTTTTTGGTGATGTTGTTTTCGTTTGTCATATTTAATACCCTTAGTTCACAATCTGTAGGTGATTTTTTTTAAAGTAATATTCTCTCCCACCCTTGGGATAAGCTGTTAAGTTCTTAATCTATTAACGAGATTAATGTGTCTGTAAATATAAACACTTTTTAACAAAAGAAAGGAAAAAGCATTTCTTAAATTGCCTTCCAAATGTGGATTTTATTTAGGATGTTAGAGGGTAACTCTGAAAAGGGGAGGAGTTTCGTTCACAATGAAGGAGGGGTTGAGTTAACATTTTTTTATCTTGGCTTGCTTTTTACAGTAATGATATTATTGATTTATTGAGCACAGGATTGGCAGTGTTTTATTAAGGCTTGTTTTAACTTTATCAAAGATAAAATATTGAAAGACCAGCATTTTTCATAAAATTCAATTTTTTTTAATTAAAAACTTCTGAGATCACAGATGAAAATAACGCTGATATTTCACCCCATAGAGAAGTTCATCTTTTTTTGCCAATCATGTACTCAACTACCGATTCAATCAAATATTTTTGAGGTGTTTCTCCAACTATTTAAAAGTAAAAAAAAATGTCAAGACTAAATGAAATATAGCAACCGTTGTAAGACACTACGCAACTTGCTGGCTATTTATTGTCACTAAATGTTGAATATGTTTTTATTTAACATAATTGTGGTTAAATATTTTTGGCAAAATTGAGCTTTTTAGAGTGCTGTACATTGGGATCTTTCTTTCTTTTTTATTTTTCAATTCACAACTTGAAATGGATCTTTGTTGTTTGTAGTGCATGCAGGCATGCTGTGTCAGATCTCATAAGGCCAGGGTCAGTAGGAGTAGAACTTTTAAAAATCATGTTTTCGCAAGATTTTATTGCCAAAATTGTTTGTTTTTTAATGCTCTGCGCTCTTGACCTTGTTTTCCCTTTGCTGAACATTTCAATAATTAAAAAGTAGGGCCTACTGCAATGATATGAAAGATTGTTGGTCTTTTCTCAAACCTCAACTTTGGGTGAGGCTTATCATCCGAATCCGAGGTTTCAGCAATGGCCATATTACAGTGGATCAAAGTTCCTTCTAAATCTTCGTAATTCTTATTTGTAATGTCTCCCAAACAACAAAAGTGAATACTTGCAAATGAAAAGGTACAAATTTTGAATGCCCTTTGGTGTAGAACGTTCTCCTTACCTGGAAAGGCACAAAGTAAAGTTAAACCAAATCACAGCGTTACGACTAAATTATTGAGCACAATTCTAGCATTTTGTGTTTGCACATTGTGCGCATTGTGGATCATGCGTTATGCAAGCATGTAAAGCCACTTCCTATTGGTTGAACCACTGAAATACTTTTTTTATACTAAAGTAGGAATGCTCTGATTGGACAAGAGGTCACAGACTCACTCTCCTAACACCCACGGAGGTTCATTTTAGTTGATGCCTGAATCCAAAATCATTGTACATAAGGGAAAACATAAATATGTGAGAAGGGAAACGTATGTTAATCATGTGTGGTTGTTATGCCCTAATTGTTAGTTGAGAATTAATCAAACATGAAATTGACTGAAGAGATTCTAACTTATTTCGCATTCATACCCAATTCAAAATGACTATATTTTTAAGTGCATTTCGTGTTTCTCCTGTACATTACCGTTGGTGTGTCTGAGTCCTCTGTAGCGTTGGTAACTTGACTTCAGAGAGCAAGTTCCAAGCTCAAAAGATCGCATTTGGAAAAATCATTCAAGAAATCCAAGCGTTTTAGGAATATTTGTTTTTGCTGCTTCACTTGTCATGAATCAAATGCTGTGTTGACCAATCTGTTAGGCTCTGTCCACTGTGCACGTGGGAAAGAACAGATGTTAGTCTCCCTTGCAGCACTTTTATGTTCCAGCTGCACGCGTCATGTCCATGTGCACGCGCATGTTGGACTTTTGTGCGTGCATGTTGCACATTAATCACAGCTGTGATTGGTCAATACAAGATGGGGCAGAGCTAACGCTGGGCGAGTAACACGATTACTCGAGTACTCACGAGTAGTTTATGCTACTCGTTGTTCTACTTGCGAGTAGCAATTGAAGGTTTAGGTTTCACAGGTTAATACGTCCCCAGCAAACTGGGAATCACTTCCTCCACCTCTCTCTCCGTAGGATTCCATTCGTCCCAAAAAAAAAAAAAAAGTATTTACTTCCCGTCATACTAACGTATATGTAATTTTTCTGCTTTTATGGGCATTTGGTCAACTACTCGCGAGTACACAACTACTCACGAGTAATTTTTTGCGAGTACTCGAGTAGAAAAATTCACTACTCGCCCAGGCCTAGGCGGAGCTTAATTGAACGATCTTTTAGTCTGTGAATCCGATTTCGCCTGTATGTTTAACAATACTTGGCAAAGCTAAATCCGCAAATTTATATACAGATTGTCGTATTATTTACGATCTCTAAAGACTCCACGAAACTCCAGACAATAAAAATAATAACTTATTGGTTGCTGAGGTGATTCTACGAACACAGAGGAATGAATCAATTCAAGCTTTGGATTATCGAGGGACTATCTTGTCCGTGCGTTGATTATCGTAATTGTTGTGATGTGGTCTGAGATATCCAAAGTTAAGTTATGTTTTTCAACTGTACAAAAAAAAACGTTGCCATAGCTATGAAATAGACACTGTAGATTTAACTGTCTTGCGATTTGTGTGTTCTACTGGTTTGTTTTCTTATTTTTTAACTGTAGAAGTTTTTTGAGTTGTACCCCGTGTTACGTAAACAATTCTTTTTGTGTGAGAATTTGCTACGTTATTCATTTTCAAGGGTTTGCCACGATCGAGGACGCTATTCATAGGCACCTAAAAGTGCCGAGTAACTTTTGTTCTTACAGTTATTATGTATGCTGTTTTATTTATTTAATTTTGGCTTATGTTTGATTTGGCTTTTTTAAATCTTGTTTCTTGATTGATTTTTACCTCTGTCCTTTGATGCAAGTTACATTTATACCGATGAGTCACCTTGGTGTGGACTTCGTACCACTAACTAAAATGGATGAAAAGCAACGCAAACAAAAACCAAATGGCTTTTAAAACTACTGTGCTTTTCAAATCAAGGAAAAAAGTATGTAAATTTGAACCATGGGCTACTCGGATATTTTTGACTTGTGCTTGTTTCTTGCCCTCTTAAATTTTTTTGTTTCATATTTCTGTAATCAAACTTTGGGCATTCACAAGGAAAAAAACACACAGAGAATGGTAGTGTGAATTTTGTGACATATACACAGCATTTTAGAAACATTTTAATGAGCTTCGCTGAAGGGGGATGTGTTATATTGCTATTTTGATCTCTGTCCAAAGTAGGGATGGACAAAGAAGGTTAATGCGAACTTCCTTTTCACTACATTATCACTTGTGAAGAAAACTAAACTGAATTGGAATCGGCCTTTAGCCAGAAACTGAAAATAGTTTCTGCCAACGAAAAATTGAGTTTGCATCTACCCCAGGCACAACAGCTTTTCTAAAAGCCTGTTGAAATTTTGGGTTTCTTGTGTTAATAAATTAATTACGTCAAAACATCTAAAAGTATTCCAGGCTACATGTGTTCATTAATTGAAGAAAAAAAGATTTCGCTTTTTCTTGACCATGTATAAAAGTTTTTTTTTTTTAATTGATGGGTGCTATGCACGTGTAATTAACCAGAGTGTATGTAGAAATTTAAAGGTCATAAATTCAGTTTAAAGAAAAAAAAATTTACAAAAAAAAAAAGAAACCTCACTCTTAACATGTGAACACTTTTTTGTACATTGTACAGTCATTGTAGAGCAGTCCGTGTGGAGATACAAAGGGTTCAGAGTGCAAGGGTTAAAGGTGAAGTGTAGGTCATAGGTCATCTAAATTTAATAAAAATCACTGTGTAAATAGTAAAAAAAATAAATGATAATCATCGAAAGTTCCTTTAACCCTTGCACTCTTTTTATGTAGTTTTTGTAGATTTAAGAAAATGTTGCTTGTATGGTTGAGCCTATTGCCAGTGTGACAATTTTCTGCTGTCACTGTGGCAGCCATTTTGGTTGCTATGCACATGGGAAATGTTTTTTTGGTGTGGCTCCAAAATAGTCAGGTGCCTGTACTGAAAAATGCACAGAAATTGAAGTCTCTATTGAAGCCTACTGTGGCAGCCATCTTGGTTGCTATGCACATGGGAAATTTTTGTGAGGCTCCAAAATAGTCGGGTGCCTGTGATGATGACTGAAAGTATCCATTGAGGCCTCTGGAGAGTAGACAAAATGGCTGCTGTTTTCACCGTACAAGCAACACTTCCTTGCAATTATTTAGTTGAACTGTGCATTCACGTGTACCAGTTTTCTCAGTCTCATAGCCTAGCGATATTGAGCTGCGTAGAAAACAAAAAAACGCAGACTTTTAACTGTAGAGCAGCACCCGTGTTGGTGTTGAGAATACTTTAAAAAGTGTTAACCGATTCTTGAAGGCTGCTTTTGACAGCCAATGACTGCTGTAAATCACTGTAATTATTACCATTGTCTTTGAGGAGACCACCGTACCTACCCTACAACAAAAGAAAGAAAAAAAAAGATGGTTTGTAATAATAAACACATTGGTGGAAAATGAGATCTGGCTTTTCTTGAGTGGTTCTGTTACAGTTGTTCACTTGTCTGTCGAACTGTTGACTGTCTGTTGTTTTGATGGTTGACCTAGTTGTTAGGTTCTTTCCTTAAGACTATGTCTTTTTGATTTCTCAACAGGAAATTTCATCAATTGCATTGGTAAGCGTGTTCTGCACGGACACATACTTGAGAACGTACCCAAGTTGACTGCCACAATACAAACATTCAAATGTACAGACTCATTTGCAAGACTCCAATGAAGCACGCTGTCGGTATTTATTTGTTTTATGCACTGGCCATATTTTAATCGGAGCACATCATCGCTTGACATCATATCATTGGCAACTAAGATAATATGAAAAAGTGATGATTTCTGCACTAAATGCTTAGGGAAGCTTTCATACCAGGGCACAGATTTCTGATGAGACTGGTCAACATCTGACACTAGGTGGCGCTGTTCTTTGGGGAGGGTATAAATATTATTGGGCTGGGGTGGGTTGGTAATTGCAAAATGATCATAATACACTTAATGAAAGGTACAGTGGATCTCTTACAACACATCCTGCTTTAGCAATTCCAACTCCAAATCTTAATACTCAACGAAAGTTTCTAAAGTCATCAACGTTTCTGTGACTATTCAGTTACATGTGAACATAAAAATAACTTGGTATTCCTATCAGTGACTCAATAAAGATGAGAATCTTAATTTTGGTTAGGCATACATTTGACAGCGTTCCCACCGAACTTGCAAGTTTAGTGTATCATATACCGGCAAAGGCAGTAAAATCTACACATATTTTTAAGCATACGGAGCTCAGTGAATTAAACGTAGAGTAGACCATTTGCAGCTATCCAAAAAGTAGCCGGCCAAATTACTGTGAAAAAAAAAGCTTACTAGTACTAGTTTTAAAGATAGTAATGGCACTAAACCCCCTGTGCAAAATTTTACTCCTTCTGGCGTGTTGTCATTTTGAAGAAAACAACAAAAGAAGGTAATTTCCAAAGATGTGTCCAGTGACACATTTTAGGAATTACCGTGAATCCACACCCATGCGTTGTAATGTGTAGTTGGTTGGCGGTTGGGAAACTCTGTGAAAGTGAACTTTGGCTCGAGATGCCAAAGGGCCTCGACTTGATTGATTGACTGATTGATTGTGAATGGGTGACAACCAGCTTAATGAGAATCATGTCCCAAATGCTGATTTTGGGATTGTGTCACATGAGGGCGCAATTCAAAACATGACTCGCCAACTCTGGAATTGAAATCGAGATCTAGAATGCTGTATTTATGTTTGGCCTGTTTTCTTGAATTATACAGAGCTGAGATTTTGAGCACTTTTACTGGTTCAAACCACAAAAAATGCACAAATTACAAATGGTCCATCAATGTTAGGTTTTGCCCTTTACCGACGTATAAACACTGTATCAGTGTGTTAACTCCCGAGTGAAAGTTGGAACAAATCACTCGGGTGAGACTTGAACCCACGACCTCCTGCTTTCTAGTGCAGACGTCTTACCACTCGACCACCAAGCTTGCGGGATCCGTTGGCTGGTTCGTATCTGATGTACATGTAGCAGCGGGTACCGCAATTACACTATTCATATGATGAATTTGCGTCGGGGTGATGTAAATCAATATTAGGTTTTGCCCTTCACCGACGTATAACCAGGGGTGTAAAATCTCAGATTTAAAGCTGATTTCAGCTTTTTTTGTTTTGGATTTCAGCTTTTTTTCCCTCACTTGCTGTGTACAAAAGTATAGGAGATTTCTAAAGTTCATTTTTTTTACGCCTTTTTCAGCTGTTTTCAGCTATTTTTACAAGTGGTCACTCACACCCCTGTATAATACTCAGTGTGTTATATGGTCTTCTCTACCTTTAAGGCTGAATACAAAGCATAAGAAATTACTATAACACATTTCTATATGCTGAAAATTGTATCCATTAAAAATGAGTGCAACTTAAACATCTTCACAGAACAGAAGTTAAACTCCAGAACGATACTCATTTGGTAAAGTGGACATAGTCGTTTCTTTCTTTTTGTTCAAATAAAATATTGACAAGCAGACATTTATGTGTTACACAACTCGAAACTTGTTTGGTTCTTTTTGAAAAGAACTCAAATGAAGCTTCACCGAGGGCCCATGTAATGTAATTTTTTTTTAATGCAATCCTTGAAAATGCACCTTTGTGTCCCATTTTACGTTATTTTCAATTTTCATTTTGCCATAGGGCATTTTTGTGCCTTTTTGTTTTTATGCTAATGGATTTCCATATTCATTGACCAAAAGGGTATTGTCATTTCAGGCAGAAACCCCAATGTTACAGCTATTTCAGCACAAAAATTTGCCACAATTTTGGATATTTAGCTGTCATAATTTTTTTTTTCTTTTTTGGTGATTCGTTGTTATTTCAGTACATGACAGTATGCCAATGAGCAAGTTTTCTGACAAATGTTTTCAATGAGCAAATTTGGGGTTCACAATTGAAAGTGTCTTCCTGGAATATGACATCACAGCAACAGCGCCCTCATTTGTCAGGAAAAGCATGGTAAATTTTAAATGTTTAAAAAAGTGCACTTTTCAATAAATTAACCAAAAAGGGATGTCAAATACTTTTCATACATTTAAGGGGAGTAGCAAGTTGCATGTTGTAAGATTCATGTCATTTGAGTCCTTAAAGTTTCGACTGTTATGCAAAACTATCCTCGTAAAGCTATACAATGAATACAAGTAAAAAAAATAACAAGTCACACAATGCACCAGTGTCTCTTTAAACATGTCAAGAGCAACAGCTGTAAAAGTTCTTTGGATGAAATTATGTTATGCATTCTGGCAAAATGAGACAGAACTGGGCACAGGAAATTGTGGAGAAAAGTTCAACGAACCAACCAGTGACAAGTTTTTTTTTATCAATAATTGATTTTAGATTTATTGACATTTATATTTTGATATGTCTGCTTTACATATTTTCACACTCCTGCTATTTAAACAGTTGCAGACAGACAGACAAAATTTCAACCCACTTCCCCTACTATACTTTTAACACAGGCTATAGTCACCAGCAGTCAGATCACATGTCAAGCAAGCACTTCGACTAGTCAACCTCGGTGGACCATGAACAGACAATGCAGGTAAGTTGTAGGCACAGCTGGCTTATCAATTACCCGCAGTCAATGCAAAGCATAGACAGTCCCAGCCATGCTAGTCAATCCTGCCATGATCCTGCTTTATGTAGGCTGGTAATTCTAACTGTTGAAACCAGTCACTTCATTGAGGTAGTATGGAACATGAAGACCCCTAAAACGAAGACGGAAGAACCACTCGAAAACAAAAGAACCACTCGAAAACGGGTCTTCGTTTTCGAGTGGGTCTTTGTTGTCAAGTGGGTCTTCGGTCTTCGTTTTAGGGGACTTCATTTTCGATACTACCCTTCATTGATTTTGAATGAAAGTACAACTTAATTGGCACAGAATGTATGTTTGCATAGGAGGGTTAACGAAATACAATATAATGTGGAATAAAAAGTTTTTAAGGAAAAACATTAGGCATCTTACTACCAAGCTGTCAAAATGGAGCTGAATGGCATTTTATTTTTTCATTTTTTTGTGTATCACAGTCATCAAAAAGAGCAAACTGCTCGGGTTTGGACACATGGTCAGATGGAAGGGGAGTCTCGCAAACACAATCCTGGAGGGTGGGACACAATCCTGGAGGGTGGTAGCCGCAGAAAATGTGGGCAGACAACATCAAGGAGTGGACTGGTCTTAACTGGGCACAACTTCATAGAACAGCAGAAGACCGAAACAAATGGAGGAATTGTGTAACTAATGCCATCATAATGTCACCCCAACAGCCATAACGCTATGGGACAGAAGGAGGGAAGGTATCTAAACCTTTCGTTTAAATGAATTCCTCATAACTTTGGTCATCTGTGTACATGTATTTGTTGATGTTTCCCAGAGAAACAAAATAAAACAGTGCAGTGTGCAGCACAGTGCAGTGCGGCATAGCGCAGTGCAGTATAGTAAAACTTTGCATGCATTTTTCTCAGTATTTTTTTTGACATGTCAATAAATGAAAACTTTAAATGTCCATAACTTGTCAATGGAATGTCTGATTAAAGTGTAACCGTAGGCCTACAGCACGGTAAGCAGAATTGTATTCTCTTTCCTAATACCCATTACAAACTCTCATTTCAACCTCTGCCCAATTCTTTCTCATTTTACCAGAACGCTTCACATATGTAAAGCTAAATATGCTCATGGCCACACTGAGCAGTATGATTACTTGTATAGAAGGATTGCTTCTTTGAGTTGGCGAATATATTTCTCCATTCCATCTGCAGTCAGGCGAAATCCATCTAGATATTTCGGCTGATTAACCTTTCTCTGCATGTAAAGATGCACCTTTGGGTGATTGGATGCCAGAGCAAGTGCTAGCAACCTGTTAAACCTTCTAACACGATGGTTGAACATTTGAATCGTTACTTGGTCGCATCCCGTCATTTTTGACCTCTGAATCACCGTTAGGAACACCAGCTGCTGCAGACGGATATTACGTTCCTCCAACTCCCGGAGAAATCTGAGGGCGTACTCAACTACCACCTTTGGCGCAGAATCCGTAGTACAGAGGTCGTTCGTTCCCATGTCTATGCAGAGTAGATCTATTCTCTCTACGCTAAGCATTCCAGTACAGTAGACATCGAGATTGTCCAAGATCTGGGTGTAGGTGAGCCCGGGGTGTCCCTCAATGTTAACAGTGCACAAGTCGCTTACTCTGAGAAGAGACTCAACAGACAGGCCGCGCTGCTGTGCGACTTGTGCAACTTCTGCAGGAAACGAGTGGCCAAAGATATAGATCGAGCGCGTCGCCGGCATCTTCGAAAACTGCAAGGAGAAACGAAAAGGACGCTGTAGGTCTTAAAAATGACAACAAACCATCATCCAGCTTTCTGTTGGGCCAGTACACAGGCAACAAAGAAAATACATTTAATAAAAACAAATAATGCTTTCCCATTTCGAAGTGGTGCCTAAATTATGTCCTGTTAAGAACCCAGGAACAACAGGCATTCCACCAGAAATGGGAGTATCATTGGCACGTAATAGGATTGGGCTGCTGGCTTCTTTATTCGTTTGAAGCGCAGGCCCTATGGATGGGGGGATCTAAATCATCTAGATCTAGACCCCTTGCTTGCCCCCTTCATGATTTTGGTGTCTCATGATCATTGGAATCGGGAACAGAAGGTGGAGTTCCAGGCAAGGATTCCTACTGCAAAATCTGAGGCTGCATGGATTGGGACGTTGGTGTCTTCAAAGTGGGGGAGTGTGGCCTAGAGGTTAAGATTTACGACTCATGATCAGAGGGTCAGGAATTGGATTCCAGCTGCTGGCCGTTTGTTGTGTCCTTGGGCAAGCAACTTCACCCCCACTTGCCTCTCTCCACCCACGATTTTAAGTGAATACCAGCATTAGCTGGGAAGTAATTTGCGATGGACTGGCATCCCATCCTCGGTCGTTTCATGCCGAGGAAGCTGGAAAAAAATGCCGGCCTGATGAGCTATATTGGCTTGCGACAGACTCTACTTTTTCTTCAAAGTTAGTATCATAATTATGTCAAACCCAATCTACATGACTTGCGCACCATCTTTTTAGTAGGGTGCCCTTCAAAGTGGACACTATCGTGCAGTAGGTTACACTCTTCATGGCGGCACAATTAAATTACTTTGTGCGACGTTAAAAAGGGTCACTCGTGAAAAAAAAGGCCTCTTGTGAAAAGGACTTCCCAATTTCCAGTGGGGGGCCACTCCCCAGTGGGGAGGGGCATACTCCCCACCCCCCCCCCAACTTCCCCCTTGGCTACGCCGCAGATGTACTCACAATCAAGCAAAGTTTCGCTACAATTTGACCGGTCTAATTAGGCCTATCAGTTATGACATTTCAGTCGTTCTAAATAACAAATTATCAAGAAAAAACATACCCCAGCAAGTTACTGTTTCACAAGCTGGTTCTGTCCTCGATACAGCATCAAATCCCCAGACGGCCTATATCGGCCCTAGCTACTTCATTGTGTGGTTTCCTTCAGGGACAGTGCCAATCTCCCCAATCCGTAGTTATCACCTTCGTGCATGTATATCCCACTCACACTGTTGCTGTTTAGTATTTAAAGATGTGCCCTGTACTCCCGCCCGCCAATGTTTTTTTTTTCCAAAATGGCTCTGGTTTCCCATCTTCTGATCGGTCCATGTGCAAGGTACCCTTCATTACACTGCCCTTTCGATTACTCCCAGGTACTACTTACGGCAAGAAGACAAATCTTGCTGTGACATGGGTTCAATTCCCAGGTCAGGTCCTATGTAAGAAGATATCATTAGTTGATTCTCTCCTGTGCCGGAAGGCTTTTTCTCCGAGCTCTTCAGTTTGCCTCCCTCCACCAATCAGCACTTTGGATCTGATCTGGCTATTCTCCGCGGTCAGACATGGGTCATGTGGCGGCTGCCCAAGGTGCCGTTGTATGCATTCGGCTCGACCACACTGTAGCTAACTGCGTCCTTCATAATTCAGCCTCGCGGCTGCGAGTAAGGATGATTAATCCCCCCCCCAAAAAAAAAAAAATTAATAACTTGGGTCCCCTTGCGCCTTGCAACAATAAGGTGGATTCTGACATGGCCATTTAGAACTTCCTGAAACATGATACTTGAAACATAAACAGAGAAAAAAATAATGACAAATCATCTATGTTGAGATATTGTAATCCTTTGATAAATTTGATAAGATTTGAAGGTTTGCATGGTGAACGGAGTGACAGGATAAAGGGTTACAGTAGCACCATGTGACAAATTTCTTTTGAGAGTTTGTGAAATTCTGAAAAGAATCAGGGTTCTTTTCAAACCTCACAAACTCATGAAAGATATTTGTCATATGGTGCTACCGTTAACCTTTATCTTTGGTGAATTTGACGCACAAATGTTACAAATAAGAAAAAATGCAAAAATTAAGGCACGTGGGTTGCAAAAAAAAGTTTAAAAAAAAAAGTGAAACACACTCAACCAAAAAAAAAAAATCGCCTTTCAATGTCAGTCTTTTACTTTCACAACAGAAGTTTTAATGACAAAGCAGGAAATTAAATTCTGTTTCTTTATTTCCGGTTTGATCAAACATTATACAGAAACCACAGAGTATGAACTACAGAATTTCAAAACTCACAATTGAACTTGCAACAGAGACTGCAATGTCTTAACACTGGAAGAGAGAGTCCAAATAATGCCATACAGCATAAAATGCTTCGAATGTACACATTTTATAGACAATAAAAGCAAAATAACCTTTACATGGTTGAACATAGTACTGGTCCCAGACGTTTTTAGCGGGGTAGTTCACAATAGATTGTACAGCCTTTGTACCGCACAGCAGCATTCATGTTCCCACTCACGCACCTCCCTCTATTTATAAACCGCATGCAAAGAATGTCTTGGGAATTTGGCATTGTAAAAAGGTGTGACATAATGTGCAACAAAGCAGCACATGCGCATCGGTGGAAACAAAGGAGCTGTTTCGAAAACCGTTAGTCGGGCGACATACACGTGCAATCGATGGCACTAGGCACTATCCGCCGGCGGTTGACGGTACGGTTCGGTCAAATCATGGCCACATCCAAATTGACGAAGAGCACTGATTTTTAGCCATGCAAGGCCCACTTGTTTGCTGCAAAATTGATTGCCTCGTCCACGCGGTCCACATTGTTCATCTGACGACGCTTACAGGCTCACTTTGCACGCTGTACACGCATGGCTTGGGAAACTGCAGTACGTACACAAACCAGACATGCTTACCGTCACTACGCCATGCACGCATGCAAATGCACACTCAAATCTGATTGGAATTTGCCGAGCTGAGATACAAAATTCCCAAGACATCCTTTGCGGCCTGTTGGCACATGTGTAGAGGGCGCCTGCTACGATGAATCTCTGCACAATCAAAATAACCTGTGCGCGCTGAAACATGGCCCCGCTAAGGACGTCTTGGAGCCAAGACTTGGTTGAACATTAAGAAGCCTTTGGACATTAACCATTAAACACCAAACTTTTGGTGAATATATAATTCAACACAGCAACAAATGCCTACACACTGCCTTTTTGTTATTTTTATTACATTACATAAAGAAATATTGTATTAGATTTTTCAACACAATTTTCTTTACATCGTTTTTTTTATTGTTTATGATTTTTTTTCTTTTCCTGTTATCTCAACAATTTATCGCATCTCATGTACTTTGGATATATAATGACAAATACCGCAGGCTTATTATCAGACACAATAAGTATCACCAGGGAAAAGCACTAACAAATATGTGCACGCTGAAGTTATAGCTTTTACCATGTATAAACTAATCCAGTGACAGCCAGTTTTCTGAGGTGGCACACTAGGTTCACGTGAGTCATTCTCAGGTAGTTTGCACGCACTGGGCTCCTTCAACCAATAGAGTTATGAAAATGCGCGTACACCTCGCGTGAGTGTGGTACCACCGCAGTAACAGCTTCTAATTCTGCCCTCCGGATTCAGCTGTGCTGGAATCCGGCGACCGAGCTTTTACTGCGGTGGTGTCACACTCACGCGCATGCTGCACGCGTTCTTAAAGACGAGTCGCGTACACACTTTGGTATTACTATTGGTCGAAGGAGCCCGGAGTGCAGTGTACTGCCTGAGCGCGACTCACGCGAGGCTTGCACCACCGCAGAAAATGGCTGCCACCGGATTTGTCTATTTGTCCAACATGTACATGTATGCCAATCTGGGTACACTGTGTGCAAATAATCAGTTTTACCGAAACACAAAGGATTATGATAGGTATGTGTGGTAATGTTGGTAGAGTTATTTCCAAATACATGTAAATTATAAGATCCAATGAAGAGGTGTTTCAAACTTTTAGTTTGTACACAGATTTAATTGAAAGCTAATCGACATGGATTACCTATTTTCTTCTTGAATTAGTGTCTATCGCCTAGTACTTGAAGCAAGGGCTTTAGCAGTTTGTACTGAATAATCTGCCCAACATGTTCAATACACATGTAGTACCAACTTCAATTACAACAATTATAAACACTTTTTTTCTTGTGAAATTAATTCAAGCAATAGATAATTCCATTGATGTAATTCGTTTTTTTAAATGTACATGTATTATACAAAGTCTTACTTTAATGAATAAGATGCTCTCTGAATAGACTTCAATCCTTTAACGCTGCCACCCAAGTCCCAGTTTTCTCTAGAAGCTGATGCAAAAGAACACACTTCATAAAAAAAATGGGTAGATTTATTATGTGGACTCTAGCAGATGCAGACCAAAACAAAGGTATTCCATCAATCTTCTTCTGCTTCAGACAGAACTTCCCATTCTTCCACCTGATGCACATCCTGATCTCCAACCTCTTCTGCCTCCATCTCCTCCTCTTCCGATTCCCCGACCTCATCGATGGAAAACATCTCTCCAAAATGGGGCATCTCAAAGCCTGCTTCCTCGTCACCCTCTATATCCTCCACAAAACCCTCAACGTCTTCAAGATAACCCTCAACATCCTCCACGCCTTCCACATAACCCTCAACATCCTCCACATCTCCCTCCACATCTTCCATATAACCTTCTACGTCCTCCACATAACCCTCTATATCCTCCACAAAACCCTCTTCATCTTCAACATAACCTTCAACATCCTCCACATAACTCGCCGCATCTTCCACATAACCCTCAACATCCTCCACATCACCTTCTGCATCCTCCATATTCTCCATATCACCCTCTTCTTCCTCCTCCACAAAACCCTCAACATCATCCACATAACCCTCAACATCCTCCAGATCAATTGCCGTATCCACCACATCAACAATATCACCTTCTTCCCCCCTATTACCCTCTTCTTCCTCCACATAACCCACTACATCCTCCACATCGCCCTCCACATCACCCTCGACATCCTCCACAATCCAGACGTCGTCTCCAAGTTCCTCTTCTTCTCCTGAGACATCTCCAGAGATATTGGATACATCTCCAGAGATATTGGAGATGTCTCCTACAGTACTGCTGATGATGTCTTCTTCACCATCATATGTTGTATCCATCTCTTGGTCACTGTCTTCATCCAGGATGATGACATCACCAGCCATTAGTTTTTCGACATCCATGTACTCTCCTCGCTCCTCATCAGCAGATGCATCAGCTGATAGATTTAGCTTGTGAGGGCTTTGTTGTGCTGGAGAGGCATTCAGTGAACTAGGAGATTTAGATCCTACATATTTAACCACCATGGGACCCGGGGAGGATGAGGTTAATTGAGTAGGCTCAGAAGTACCCAGGATTGAGCTTTTCTTTTGGACTGAAGATCCCTGATCGGAATCTTGGACTTCTAAAGTTGCTTGTTTAGAGCTGTCCTGCTTGGCTGGCAAAGTGGATGCTGCAGAGACTGACAGAGGTTGTTTCTTTTCTGTTTTGGTGACCCGGTCTGACTTCCTCACAGAGGTGTCAGTTGGACTTCTGGCTTTCTTAGATGGCACTTTTCCTTTAGCTACGACAGTCTTGGTAGTTGCATCCCCACCAGAGTCTGTGACCTCTGTCTTAATGGGTGTTTCTCGTGCATGTTCTTTTGCAGTTTTGGGTGCTTGCTGAACCTTCTTCTGTGACTCAGCAGATATTTTGTCAGCTGCGTCTGTCTGTTCAGGTGTAGATTTATCTGATACACTGTCTACTAAGGTATATTTTGAAGAAATCACAGATGTGTCCTCTTTTGAAGAGGTTTCTTTAGATGCCTTTTTCTGGACACTCCCTTTAGGTTGGGTCTCAGTTACAGACAGTACTGTCTTACTTTGTACATTTGTTAAGCGAGTTGAACTTCTTTTAGGAGATGATGCCAAAACCTTAGAGAGGATTGTTGTGGAGCCTGTATCTTTAAGGTGTGAAGGGTTTGGTGTTGAGAGAGTCTTTGAGGAAACTGATGCAACTGAATAAATAGACTTGGGACTTGCAATAGATGCTGCTTTTAGTCTTGATCCAACATCCTTCTGATAAGCTCCCTTGGGTGCCTCCTTCCTGGGAGACACTGTCTTGGACATAGCATCCTTGGGTGAAATTTCCTTGAGTTTGGCTTGCTTCTGCGGAACTTCACTTATGGTGGATTCAGGTGCAGTAACTTTGACAGTAGTTTCCGTACGTGTAGCCATTCTATGTGATGGTTTCTCAGCTGAAGAGTTTAATGGCTCATCTTCTACAGGTTTAGACTCTTTGGTAGAGATTCTCAGAGAAAGCTCCTTGGATGTTGATTTGGGTGTGGTTTCTACATCCTTGGTGTTGCTTGCTGAGGCTTTCTTTGGTTTAACCACTTTTGGTGGGATCTCCCTTTTGGACGTTGTCTCCTTAGATGCGATTCTTTTGAGTGTGGCGTTACTGGCAAGAGTTTCTTTTGGCAGGGCTTCCTCTGCAGGTATGATGTCTTCGTGTGTGATCTCTTTTGATACTGTCTTAGTACCTGATGACTCCTCGGAAAGAGCTTCTGGTGAAATTGCTGTTTCGGCTGGCTTTCCTTGGCCTTCAACCTCAGCTGTGTTTTCTTTCAAATTGGTTTCCGTTTCACTACCACTAGATGATCGAGTCTTCAAAGGAGAGGCCACTGGGGATTCCTTGGTCATGTTGTCTATTAAAGCTTTAGTGGACCTAGTTCTCCTGGGTGAGGCTCTTCTAGGCAAAGCTTCCTTGAGGCTGGAAATCTTAGGACGACATTCCATGGTTTCAGATTCCTTGACTTTTGTTTTGAAAGGTGTGACCCCAGTGGGCAAGGTTACCTCTGGCTGGGACTTGGATTCTCTTGTGTTCAAATTGGAAGCGGTTGCTGTGGCCCCTTTGGATGTGGCATCTCTATCTAAAGCACCAGTTTCACTCAACTCTTTTTGCTGGAGGTTGATTTCAAGGGATCTAGCTTCAATGGGCACAGGGTACTCGATTGAGGATTTCTGGACAGCAACCATTGGAGAAGGTTCCATTGTAGGAGACTTAATTCCCAGAGAAGTAGCTTTCTTGGAGGTAGATTCTCCCTGGGGCAGAGTTCCTCCTGGTTTTTCTGCTTTTTTCTCTGCTTCCTCAGCCAGGGTTTTGTCTGTCGGGATGATTTGTTGTGGCTTTCCTGTCTCTTCCTCAACTCCCTCGATAACTGTTCTCTCGATTGTAATTCTTTTCTTGCACTCTGTTTCTCCTTGCTCTTTGGTCTGTCGCTCTGTTTCCATGGGCACCACTTCCTTTGACATATTACCTCCTGGCTTACCTACATCACTCTTCACTTCCTTGAGTTTGGTTCCTCGCTCTGGTTTTTCTTGATTCGTCTCAGCTAGCTTGGAAACAGCTTTCTGGCAAGTGGTTGTTTCTGCTGGTTTATCTGCCTCCACCTTATTATCCTTGAGAGTAGCTCCTCTCTCGTGCTTAGAATCCCCTGACTTTCTCGGTATCCCTTCAGTAGCTTTAGACACTGTTTCCTTTGGCCTGTTTTTCCTGGTTGGCAACACTACATCAGGCTTGTTGGCCTCCTCTTCAGCTTCCATGTATACAGCCTCTGTGAATCTGGGACCTGCAATGGTCACAGTCTTTCCTGCCTCTCTCTCAGCTGCTGCTGTCACTATCTCCATCTGAGACTCTGCTTCCGTCCATGTCTCTGATGCAACTTCACCTGGTTTGGAGATTGGCCGAGGCAACTCTGGTTTGTCTGGACGATCGCACCTCAATGACGCCCCAACTGCAATCACCTGCCCGACTGAGAACATGCTCTGGGCAAAACTTGGCTGAAAGGCACTGCTGGAGCGACTTCCAGCAGACTTTTTGTGCACCGAAGCACCGACGCCTGCATCTTCAGACATGCTCTCCAAACCTACACTGCTCTCAGTTGGGATGTCTTCGGCAAGTGCAGCCTGTGCGGATGCAGACATTGAAGTGCCCTGACTAGCTTTAAAGCTGGTTCCCGATGACTGGTTTCTGCTGGCATAGTATTGCTGTGAGAATACAATACGATATTTTGTGAGGTTAATAACGTGAAATGACAACACATAATACCTCGGCAATCTGATTATTTTATGGACAGTATTTTATTGACAGAATGATACCTTTGTGTGCTAAGCACTAGTCTATTGTTGTGGTTTGCTGGACAAAAAACAAGAATGAATAAAGATCAAAAGAAAAATTAATTTCTTCCTTTTTCAATTTGTGCTTTTTATTGCTGGTATATAAAACGAAAAATACACAAAAACAGCAAAAGACAATTTGAAACAAATAACTCAAATTTCACTGAAACTTTGTGATTTTTTTATTTTTCACTTCATCTTAACGTCAAATTTCTCCAGAGCATTTCACAAGAACGTACAAGAATGTCTTGAAACTCTTTGATGATGTCATGCATTCACTATCAACCACTAGCCCACACTGCTGAGTGCATTCAGGGGTGGAAGTTTGTGCTACTATAGTGAAAGGAAATCCACTATTGCAAAATAAATGTGAACAGATCAGTCACAAATGTAAAATGATCCGTTATGTAAACAGGGCCCAATCCTGGGAGAAGCAAATGACATTGTAAACCTACAAGGATGCGATATAAATGATCCCGGAGGGAATTTGTCTGACATTTACTAGGGTCTAGAACTCACAGATCCAGGACAACTACTCAAAAATCCACTTGGCAAAGATCCTACCTTTAGTGAACTTACCTGAAACGGCCCATATTCCTTTCCACATTTTCAACAGAGTGAAAGATCAATACAAAGTAAGTTAGAATGTGAACTATCCAGTTTTAATACTTACCTGAGTTTTAGCGATGTGGTGGGCCGTGGCACAGTGGACTTCCCGGGCTGTATTCTCGTTGTTGTAGAACTTGGAGCACAGTTTGCAGAAGAAGCCGGAAATGGGTGTGATAAACTCTGACCCTGGAAAAGAGAACAAAAAGTCCTTATTAAGTCTGGATACAAGCTGAAGATTTCTTAAAAATACCCAAGGTACGGTGACTTACATGCCCGAAGAAACCTGTGTAGAGAAACCAATGAAGAAATGTTCAGTTCTTGTAGCTAGGAGGAAAACCCCACATAAATCATCACAAGCATCATCTAGTCCTTCAGCCTGTTTGTTTGTCGGCCTGTTTGTTTGAGACAAAACCAGGTGACGAACCAGATGTCTTTCTGTGGGAAAACCAAAGGAACCGGGTAAGAACTAGAAACCCCCACAAACATGTCATCCTGGGTGGGAATTGAACCTGGGTCACAGAGGCGGTATATAAGGAAAAGTACCACAGCCAATCTGACTCCCTTTAAGAGAAGGGAACTCAAGCCTAATAAGCATGTGGGCTGTTAGACGTGGACTTTTAGCAACAGAAAATGACTGTCTTGAAGCTTCTTTTTGTACAACACTTATGGTTTCCAAGCAAGAGTTTAACCTTTTCAATGACGACAAAAGGCAAATCACGGCATACACAACATTGATGATGTCCACATGTCTACTCCAGAGACGTGACTTAATTGCTTGCACACATTCAGTTACAAATGGGTTGTGTGCATTCACGTTTGAACCACTGCGCGCATGCATCATGAGCTGCACTAGTGTCTCCGGTGAATGGTCCATGCAGCACTACTCTCTCCCCCCATAGTCCAGAGGCTTCTTGGCGATTGGAATCTCAAAATTGTCTGATACACAGACTTCATAATCAAAGGTTGAATACCCTAGAGTGGTGTCACAGTTGCTCTATCAACTGAGATGAGTGGAGCTTTAACTCGGTATAATTGTGCAAGACGTCCAATCCCAATAGACCAGTATCACGTTGCGGCCATCTTGATATTTTTCCCATTTAAATCAACGTTACCAAAGCGAGACTTGGAAGGAAAAATAGTCTGGTTCCTTTTTGCACAAAAAACCATTAGCATTCAGCAGGGAACATGAAATGATGGCAGCATGATAAGGTCTATACACCCACCAAGGCTGTGGGAATGGCATAAGGGCACCAGATTATTGACCCAAATAGTAAGAAAGAAAAGACACAGGACACCAGAGTTGCTTATTGCCTCAGATAACCAGTGCCGAGATTTATTACCACCAGAAACCAACTTTTTTTGTCCTAAAGCACAAGCCATGTTTGATAAATAATTATTTCTGAATGAAACCTACTGACTATGTGGACTCCAGTGTGTCATCATCATTTACAGATTTTTTTAAGAGGCTTGAACAACCTACACCTAGGAACTCGCCACTGTAATAACAACTCGTGCTTACTGGAAATATACAACACTTAAAGAACAAACACTTAAGTTGAAAGCTGAACATGTATGTATTCACAGGAATAATGCAATGCTTGGCAAGAAAACGCCAATTCTGGCCTGCAGAAGATGTTCCACAGGTACTAACAACCGGGCCCAATTTCATAGCACTGCTAAGCACACAATTTTCTGCTTATAGAGCATTAATCTATTTCACGGCGACCATAAGCAGTAAGCACACACAAAAGGTTCACTTAACTCTGAAGAAAAACTTGCTTATTAAGTTGCGCGCACAACCTATAGCACATCTACGCCATGAAAAAGTGCTTAGTACTTTTTCTGCTATAGTTAGCACAACTTTTCTGCTCACTGCTAAGCAGCGCTATGAAATTTGGTCCCTGGTACTGAAGTCTCAACTCTTAAAGCATCCAAAAGTCAAATTTAACTATGCACTTGTAACAGATTGAATTACATTGTGTTTAAACCATAGAGAACTCGGGCGGTTTTGGGTGCAACAGTGAGTAATAGGTAGGGCGGTTTGGGGCGCTACAATGACTATAGGGATAAAGTTAGCAATTCAAGGTAAGCTTAAGCCCAATTTTATATCACACAGCTTGCACGAATATTTCAAAATCAGCCAGCATAACGTGTTATTAGGCTTAAAACCCCACCCCTATTCTGTCCCTGGCTCTTCAAGATCTTTGTACAAGGCGGCTTTCCCTGTGTATGTGTTTCAATTACATAAATTGGCAACCCATTACTACTCTAGCAGCTTATCTTAATTCACAGGCAGATGGAGTACGTTTTCAAACGTCTAAACTTAAGGCGAGGGGGGAAAGATACGGGCCTCTGGGTTGCCCGCAAAGAAGGCAAGCGCGGAACGCAAATTTTCACAAAAAAGTTTGTTACCCGCGGGGGATAAATGAAAGCCGTCCGGCAAATAAGTCAAGTGCTGACTGGGATTGATGTTGTGCGAGTGCTTAACTACATAAGCGTTCTGCAGTTCGAGGCATTTCCTGTGCGCAAACTTGTTCAAGGCCTGCACGTTTTTCTTGCCAATTCCCTGGCGCGCTTCCCCGTAGTAGAAGAGTCTTAGAAGGATGTCGGACCAGACTATCCTTGTGTTGGGAAGCCTTTGTCGAAGGCTGCCCAAACCCTCCTCTATCCCCGCCCGAATGTCCCAAACGGTGATCTTAAACAAGTCATTGGTGCCCAGATGTACGATGATGGTGTTTGGGGTCGGCCTGTCTTCGAGGTGCGCGGTGATGGAAGGATTCAGAGTGGAGATACCCGCGCCATTCTCACCGAGCCAGGTAACGGGCCCTGCCGATGATGGCCCATTGGGTGCAATCTGGCCTGCCCCGAGGACAATGTCGTCGCCGACAACCAAAGTGCGCATTGTTCCTGCAGATGGTTAAAGAAAATGATATATAGAGCAAGAGGCCAGAGCAAATGGTCTTGCAGAGGCCTCGGGTAAGGTCAAGGGGTACTTAGACCTTGTGTGGACGACTGTACAGCTGCGTACATCCCAACCATGGAGGGTGGTGCCAAGCCTTCGAGGAAGAGGAGTGCGACAAAAACATGACCATCTGGCTGACTGAGGAGGGCGCCCTGCTATTTGATCATCAGGGTTGTTGCTGATGACAATGTTGGAGTCAATAACTTTCGAAGTGCTCTGGTCTGGGCATTAGTCCAGTTGTTTCGCATCGTGATCCTCAGCATCGCAAGCCTTGCAATTTCACGTCAGTAAAAATTTATGGAAATTGCCACTACAAGGCCAAGGGTCACTCAACGTGATGACCACAAACAACACAAAGAAGCAAGTTCAGAGGAGAGAAGGAATATGTGATTTTGCTTGAACTGTGATTAAGTTAACCTGTTAGCGCTTGTATTACATTGTACAACACTGTATTTACTCCTTGGTGAATCTATTAAAAGTATCACACAATTCCTCTCTGACAATATTTGAAGGTAATAAGTACAGGGAGTCAGGTTGGTGCAATGGTTACTTTCCTCGCCTTCCACCGCTATTACCTGGGTTCAATTCCTGCCCGGACATATAAATAGGGTTTTCAGTCTCTACCTGATTCTGTGGGCAGGCCGACACTGGCTGTTTTTTTATTGTTAGGCAAATTAGGACCGAGCTATGGGGGCTTTCTGCTGTCCCCACAGCGTCTTCAGTCCCCATAGTACCATGGGACAAGTCGTGTGTAGTCCCAACAACTACGGAACAAGTGTGTGTGGGCTATCCCCAGAATGTTCTTCTGAGCTTTTCCTCCCACATCTAAAACTGTAAATTCTTCTCATTGTCTCCTCTCTACAGGTTTTTTCAGGCTTTCGAGCTACAGTGCCCAAGGCATTTTTGAGGAATCATTGGTTTCTGTACCAGAGAGAAATAAAACAATACAATGGAGTGCTGTGGCAGTTAAGGAGTAATAGCTGGGGCACTTTTGGGCAGTACTGGGACCAATGGATTAACGCAGGGCTCAACCTGAATGTTTCAATAATATGAAATGGCTCCGACCACACGCTTACATACCAATGACATTGGGCTTCTGTTGAGACTGTATCTTCCCTGCATCTGCGGCGCTCACGCTGCTGTTGCCCATTGCAGGTTGATTAGTCACACGACCAAAAACAGGTGCAGCAGGCTTCTCCTGTGCTGCAACGTTCTGTGAGCAGGAACACAAAAAATGACAGTGATTATTAACTAAACTTCTCCTGTGCTGAAACATTCTGTGAGCAAAGAACAAAACAAGAAAACTTGTGTGTATTAAACCCCAATACCCCGCAACCAAGACTGATCCCATGAAAAGAAGTCACTATATGTGATTACAAAAAGTGAGTGAACGTTAGTCGATTCTGTACAAGAAATAATGAGTAGAAAGAGACAAGACCAGGGGGTACACAACCACCGTTTTAAAGTTCTGTCCACGGATCAAAACAAGGTGTGCATTCTTTCAGCAAAACGAAAACAATTCACACACATCCCTATGTGATTTGTTTTCGTTTTGCTGAAAGAACTCTAACCTTCTTGTGATCCGTGGAACGGTGGTTGTGTTTAAAATTCCGTAACTTAAAAAGTAAATGAGTGATTTGAATGATTCTTGTACTAAAAGAAAGCTTATGAATTGGGCTTTCATATGCTAGATTTTGAAAGTGCTACATGCAGAACTTCACTAAAACAATGGTCCCGACATTTGGGTTTGGTTTTTTTTTTACTTACCCGGTTTTCAGGCAAAATATGAGGTCAGTGAATGAGAACCACACAACTCGCTTAGATATATCATTCACATTGTGTTACTGCATCGATTGTGTCAACCATGCAAACCCTTAAGTCTTACTTAAAATGTGAGGTATACTAAAATAATCACAAACATCAAATGAAAATAATAATAATAGTGAACATTAATACCGCGCCATATCTGTCAATATGACACTCCTGGCGCAAATTATGAGACGAAAGACGAAAGACAGGTAATGAAGTATATGATCATATGAGACCCATTATGTAGCACCTTTTTGCTAGGTGCTGCGGCGCATATTGCTGCCAGTGCCAGAAACACCGGGGCAAACCCCTTCTCTTAGCGACAAGTGTTACTGGGTTCTTTAACGCGCATTACACAACACACAGGACCTACGGCTTTACGTCCCATCAGAAGGACGAAGCAATAATGGTAAAGTGCCTTGATCAAGAGCACCAGCACCATGTTCCCACGGTCAGGATTCGAACCCATGTACCACGGCACACGAGTTGAACACCTTAACCATTGGACCACAGCGCCCCTGTTCATCAAGCCACAAGAGCATGCAGCAGCTGAAATCAGCACACATGCGGTCCTCTACCCTCACAGGTACCCAATGATACTCCTAGCTGAAGAGAGGCAACTGTAGTTAAGTGTCTTGCCCAAGGGTACCAACACAATGTTCCTGGCAGAGTTCGAACCCATGCACCATCGTACTTGAATCAAACACCGTAACCACTGGACCATGGCATTCTACATGCCATCAGAATCATCTTTTTTGGAAATGTTATAAACATCAAATGTGAGTGCGTTAATAGTAACTCACCTTTTTATGTGCCAATGAGGTAATATGCTTGTGATATGCCTTGATCTTTGCGAAGATAAGGTTACACGGGCCACAGCGGGGACGAATGAGCTCCAACTTCTACGAGACAAAGACAGTTTGTTGCAATAAAGTAAAAAAAATGTTGATTTAATACAATTAATATCACTGGTATTGACTTCTTTGATTCAAAGGAGTTTTACACCATTGTTTCTCTATAACCCACAGGTTTGCTATAATTTTAAAGATTACAGGGCGAGTAAAAAAAGGAAACCCAATTTGCCGGACCACTTTCTTAATAAAGTTCTGCATGTAGCCTTTTCAAATTCTCGGATATGAAAGCTCAAGTGATAAGCTTTCTTTTAGTACAAGAATCATTGAAATCACTCACATACTTTTCAAATTACGGAATTTTAAATACAACCACCGTTTTAAAAGTTCTGTACACGAAAAAAAGTGTGGGTTCTTTCAGCAAAATGAAACAATTCACACGCATCCTACGTGAATTGTTTTTGATTTGCTAAAAGAACACTTACCTTTTTTGTGATCTGTAGACAGAACTTTAAAACAGTGATCCGTGGAAGGGTGGTTGTGTTTAAAATTCTGTAACTTAAAAAGTACACAAGTGATTTGAATGATTCCTGTGCTAAAAGAAATCTTATTAATTGGGCTTTCATATCCTAGATTTTGATAGTGCTAAATGCAGAACTTCATTACATAATCCTGCCATTTGGGTTTCCTTTTTTGACTCGCCCTGTATAAAACTGTTGATCTGACTTGGACAAAACAGTTCCCTAGGCATGTTCAATGTAATTTTTATTTGCCAATTTTGTCAGGCAGAAAATTGACAATTGTTATTAAAAGGGGCATAACGTCCTGGAATGCACCCAATTTGGCTACAAAAGTGTTTGTAAACACAACCATCTTTTAAAAACTGGCATGTTTCATGACTCCAAAGGAATTATTCACCAGTGATACAACACCGGGTTAATAGTAAAACATCAAATTAAAGTTACCGACCTTATGTTCCGCTGAGCTCACATGTTCGTCATGACTGCAGGAGTAATGAGTGAAGCATATCTTGCAGTAGGAACGCTCACTACGACCAGCCTGTGGAGACACACTCAGGTTTTGCCTGTAAGGAACGAACCAAGACGTAGTGAAACATAGCTGCAATATCTTAGGAGTAAATTGGTAATATGTAATGCTATGGACAATGTACAAGTCAGGCAGTGTTACGCAGGACTCTTAACCACTTTGTGGCCAGGATTATTTTTTGGCAAAATGTTTTGATTTTCGCAAAAGGCAACATTTTCCAGCAAACACATTACAAAATACTGATATGCAAGAGTCATTTCAACAGCATTTGTACAATATTTCTTGCCGAAACCTCATATGTTTCAATACTCCGGGGTGTGCACTGGAGCGTAAATTGTACAACAATGGAGTACCGAAGTGAACACGTCACACGCACAAAATGTTTGTGAAAGACATTAGCGCGTGATTCAGCCCGTGAACCAACACGTGCGCGTACTCCATTCGTTTGCACTACACTTTCTGGTTCCAAATGACGTCACACTTCGGCACTCCATAGGCCATGCACAACGGCCAATTCAAAAAATCTCAATCTGGGACTAAACCTCACCTGAAGCACTGTGTGGCATCTGAGAGGGTCAGGGTTAAATGGGAAAGAACATTCAAACACTTACTGTGCGGCAAGACCCAAGCTCTGTCCAAGGATGCTGCTTCGTAGGGTAGCCTCCGAACCCTGCTTGGGCAGGAGCTTCAGTTTGGAGATGAGCTCTTTCTCCATGGTCGCAAAGTTGGCCTTCAGCAATGTGCTGTACCTGTACTTGTGTTTGCGACCAACAATGTGCGTCATGTATACCTGTGTAGGACATGAGGATAATAAGCCTTACATCATATCGTCACCGTTTTCACGAAGAGCCACATATGTCAAAAATTATATTTTTTTCGATTTTCCTTTTTTTCAATATTTTGCAATAAAACAATGTACTTAATCATGTTGACATGTTTCTGTTAGCAAAATATCATTAATTTCCAAGTTACATTAATGTTTCAAGGGGCAGAAATCTCGATAAATGAATTTTGCATTTTCACAAAGAGCCACATACATTTTGGCCCTTTGAACGCGTACAAAACTCATTGCACGGAAATATGTAAAAGTAGGTTAAATGAGATTTCCGTTTTCACAAAGAGCCACATATCTTTGTTACATTTTCAGCTGCGCGCGTACTCACACGCGCCTATGAAAATACATGTTGAACAGAAAGGGCCAATTGGTCGAAAACCTGAATTTGCGTTTTCACAAAGAGCCACATATCTTTACTAATTAATTTTCACCAATTAACTGCTGTATAAGTCTTATTACTGGGTTCATGTAAAAATTCAGCTCTCGTACAATCGTGTGATGGTTTCCTTGCTGCACAAAGTTGTTGCAAAGTAGTATTTCTGGCAGTTTTAAAATATGAGAAACTTCTTTCGCGATTATCTCGAAAACACTCTTCTTCAAAATCAACATAATATATACGTGGCTGTTCGTGAAAACGGTGACGATATGACTAAGCAACTTTTGAATTGAAATCGAGATCCTAGAATACTGATTTTTGTATCCCTATCATTACAGTTGGTAAAGCATCCTAGAGGAAAAACATCACACCAACTTAGAGAAAAGACAGTGAGAGGAAATTACAGTTCAGAGGTGGGAGGAAAAGCCCAGAAGATATTCTGGGGAAAACCCACGGAATTAGGTAGGGACTGAAAACCCAATCCACACATTGGCCCAGGGCAGGAATCAAACCCGGGTCACAGCGATGGAAGGCGAGGAAAGTACCACTACGCCAACCTGACTCCCAAGTCTTGGAATATACAGCATTCACTGAGTTAAAATTTCATCAGGTTAGTTGTTAAGCATCCATCTTTAGATTTTGGGCACTGTTGTTGCTTCAAACGAATTTAAAAAAAAATGCACAAATGACAAATGATGTTACCTTTAATTGTGACCAGACTTGTAATTTGGTTTGTGATTGACTTGTACTTGGCAGGTCATATTGTTTAATCAAGACAAAGAACATAACTCAACAAAAAAAAAGAGTAGCGACATCTTAAAAAGTTGGCAGTTTGACAAACCTTCAAAGTATGACAGATGGAGCCGCACACATAGCAGAACCATTCCAACATCACCTTGTCCTGTACGTACTTCTCCACACCTAGCGCCTTCAGGAGTCCCATCTAATCAAAGAACATTGGTGAAAAAATGTAAACAGAAAGGAGGGCTGTTAGCAAAGGTTTCAAGCTACAGTGGAACGTCGCTATACCAAACACCGCTATACCGAACATTCGGCTATACCGAACATCGTCCTTGGCTTCCGATTTTTGTGTACAAAACCAACCGAACATTGTTGTTGAAAACTGTCAACAGAAGAGCTACAAGTGGCTATTATTTCCCCAAGGCATAGAAGGGGAAAGCCACCCATCGATGTAGGTAGTAAGCTCAAAACTGTGTAATTACATAATTCAATAGTCGGCACGTGTTCGAAGTTGTCTTTCAGCAACTACCAGGGCGTGCAGGGTGAAGTTATGAAGGGTGCCATTTATTGAAAAGTCAGTACCGGAGCACCGGCAGCTTAAAATCGCTATACTGAACTATCACTATTACGAACATTTTCTGTGGATCCCGCGATGTTCGTTATAGCGGCGTTCCACTGTAATTAGCCATTGTAGTGCCACTTATTTTCAACTATCCATCTTATATTCAAAGTTATCCTCATTTCAATTTTTGGAATAAATTCCATTTTCAGTTCAGTTTCCAAGCACAAAGTTTTACAAAGTCTTCAGACATCACCAGTGTTCACCAGGTACTGAGGCCTGGATGACCGGATATTATTTGATTCAGCAGCAAATCTTACAAATTCTGAAGTGACTTAAGGGTTAAAAAGTCAAGGAAATGTAAGAACTTTTGCGCATTCCTCATTTTTTTGCATATTTTAAATCCAAACTGAATCTGAAATTCAGATTTTATATAACCCTGAAATTTAATATAACCAAAACTAAAAACATTTTTTTTTTTAAATTGTAATCTTAATTTAAGTTTTGCTCTTCACCAACACAATTTTAAAGTACTGCGTACTCAGTGCTGTCCAAAACATTATATGAAAATATTGTCAAGTTGCTCAGGAGTGACTCAAACCCGTGATCTCCTACTCATAAGTGAAGATTTTGGTGGGTTCAATTCCTGCTGGAGTACACTTATGATATTTTTCCTTTGTAAAAATACATGTACTGCTTTGAAATTCAGTGAAGGTCAAAATTGAATATTGACATATATCTCCCCGATGTAAAATGCTATCGAGTTAAAAAAAAATTGAAAATTAATATGGGAACAAACCTGGTGAGGGATGCTACTGTCTTTGATTTCAAGAGCCACAGATGAGTCGCCCGACATCGCAGGAACTTTACGCGGCACTTCCTCGGTCTCCATCTCTCCTTTTCTCTTCCTGCTGTTCTCGCCAATTGTCGGCCCATCTCCAACTGTTTTGTTAGTTGATGCTGATGAATTTGAAGAACTATTGCCCGATGATGGATCTGTTGGTTGCTTGCTGCTTTCCGCTGCGGGTGGGAGACTGGATATTTTGGTAGTTGGAGTTGTGGAGTTGGGAAAAGAAGCAGCTACATCTGAAAGTTGACTTGATGGCGAAGCAGTGACACCAGCTGAATTGGCTGATTTCTTGACGGACACTGCGACCCTGCTTGACGATGCTTGTGCAGCAGCAGCAGCAGATGCGATGTCACTGCTCATTGCCGTCATCTTCAAGGGTTTTGACACAGCTGATGTTTCAGTAAAGCCGACGACATCAACTTCTTGCATGGTTCTGGAGCCAAGTTTGGGGACTCCTGCCTGTCTCTGTGCCTTGGCAGATGTCCCTGCAGGTTTCTGTTTTGATGCCCCTGCAGGTTTCTGTTTTGATGTCCCTACAGGTTTCTGTTTTGCATCACTGCTGGATTTCTCTCTCATCTTTGAGGTTTCGTCTTTCTTCTCCTTTCCAGTTGTTGAGGACGTGGCATTTTTCTGCTCCTCTTCTGTTCTGGAAGGCGTGGTACTCTGCTTTTCCTTCTCTTTCATTGAAATGGGTGTGACGTCTTTCTCCCTTGCCTTTTCAGTAGCTTTGACGGGTGTGGCTTTTTCATCTTTCTTTTCTGTGATCTTGGTTGACGTATCGTTTTTTAGCTTATCCTTCTTATCTGTTGCTCTGGACGGCATGTTGTCCTTTTCTGTTGCTCTAGAACTTAAGTTGTTCCCTTCATCTTTCTGTTCATCAGTTTTTGAAGGTGTGGCTTTCTTCTCTTGATTTGCTTTCTCTAAAGGCGTGTCAATCTTCTCCGTCTCCATCTTAGCATCCTCATTTTCATCTTTCTTTGTTCGAATCTTCTTTGCCTCTGAATCCCTGGTGTTACCTTTGTTCCCTGTCGGAAAATTTTCTTGTCTTTTACTTGCTGGTGGTGGTGTTATCAGAGCCGAACGCTGCCACCTGCCGTCGATGAATACTTCACCCATCTTCACATCAGGTCTCTTGCGCTTCCTCTCAGGGCTGTGGCTGCTTCTCCTCTCCGTTGAGACTTGCCGATCACTTGAAGGGTACCTCCCTTGTCTCTTTTCAATCTCCTTGGGTGATTCCTTGTTTTTAGCTGGATCCCTCTTCATTTTCTCCAGGCTCCCGCTTCGTGACCTCTTTGGGGATGGCGGGGACTTGTAGGCCGGTTTCCTCTTCTCCACCTCTCGATGATGACTTTGGGACCTAGACCTCTTTGCATCCGTCGGCCGCATCCTCGGTGGACTTCTTGTCCCCATCCCCCTGTCTCTGTCTCTGTCACCATATCGGTCCCTCTCCTTATCTCTGTCATCCAGTCTTGATTTGTCTCGCTCTTTCGACCTGGCTCTGTCTCTGTCCTTGTCTAGGCTCACCTGTTGTTAGAAAAAAAAATGAAATAATCATAAATTAAATTTTGATATTCATTCTAATTCTGTTTGAAACAGGGCAACAAGTACATTTCTATAATACTTGTGATTTGTCAATTACATCCCAGAGGGTGAATTTTCAGTTAGACATCAAATAATTTCTGACCATTTACCAGATGGAATGGACCTTCATAAACAGATTTGCTCAATTTCTTTGTACTGGTAATGTAATATGAGGGTTCATATTGATTGTGGTAGTTTCTGTTCTTCAAGACGTTTTGGTCTAACTTCAATGTCTCGAGGGATGTCAATGGAAAGCAAAAGGCATTACTCAATTCGGGCGATTCACAATGCAGTGCGCCACCAAGAGTTTGCCACAAAAAGTTCATTTTTCCCAGTGCATTGTGGGAGATGGTCGACAAATTCGCAGCACGGAACATTTGAAATTGTTCGTTTTTCCGGTCAGTAGTTTCGATTCGAGGATCTGTTTGCCCTTTTCTTTTCTTATCAATATGGTGTTTTTTGGTAAGGTGCCAGAACGTAAATGCCCCAATCTATAAAGAATAAGCTCAAGTTTTCTACTGACACTCATTCAAATGGGCCATGTTTTGTCGACCGTAAACTTGAAAAATTGACTCTCCATGGCAAACTCTTGGTGGCGCACTGCATTGTGAATTGCCCAAATTTACAAACATGCCAAGATTCGAGTACGTCTACTCAAATTCCTTACCCCTTTCTGGTTTGGCATTGTCTTCTTTTGCATGGCTGATGGCCCGCCTTCAATAGCCACATCATCAAACTTGTTGATTTCCTTACAGAACTCATCCATCTGATCCTGGAGAATCTGTTCCTTCTGCTTCTTCAGCATCTCTACCCTCCGGTCGATGGAGGAGATGGTCTCGTCCGTATCAGTCTCTGACAGGAAAGGGATCTCGGCTGAAGCAGCAGTTGAAAACAGACTGGTTGAGATCACAGGAACAGGGTTGGAGACTTCAGGTGTCTGCAGCTGACGTTTTCTGTGGGAGTCCACTGGTGTCTTAAACTCAGCATCTGGTTCCCGTTTGGTACTTTTGAGGAAGGCATCGACACTGGCATGCCATGGGCTCTTTGGCGCTCCATCTGTAGGTTTGCCTATTCCTTTGAGAACGCTCCCTGAAGACTGCCTTGACTGCTGCGATTTGGACTTTTTTCTGCCTCGAAGCTGGTCGGAATCAGGAGATCGAAGCCTATTGGAATTAGGAGATGATTTTGATGCACTTGTGCCTTCTCGACCTTTATGGCTTGGAGTTTCAGGAGCAGGTTCTGGCTCATTCCAATCTTCCTCTAATGTGCTTGGCCAAATGGTGCTGATATCATCCACATCATCAGGTTTTGGCTCAACTTTGGCAGCCCCCATGACAATTTTATCCCTGTTTGGACTGTCAATGTAACCGTCCGCTTTCAGCGACTGCAGTACTTCCAGAGACTGCGTCTTCTGAACTTCAACTGACAAAGGTGCTCTGGCCTTTTCCAAAAGTACCAAAGCCTGTTTTTGTGGTTCCAAAACGCTAGCCGTCGTAGATGCCATAGGTGAACTGCGGACAGGATAACTGACTGCAGTGAGTCGCGGGTCTTGAAGACCCGTGAAGTTGGAGGTAGAACTTATTACTTGTCGCCCTTGTAAACTACCAGTTTGCCTCTCGGGTACGTTTGAGATATCAGAACCAGCTCTAATTTGACAAGCAGATGCGATCCTCGATGACTGTCTTAAATGCTGGCCTTGGTCTGCACTGGCATTTTTGTTGGCCGTGATGGTCTGAGTTCGGTTGGACCACTTTTGTGGCTGTACTTTAATACTGGACATATTGAGTGTTGCTGTCGGCCCTGGAAGCTGCTGAGGGGCCTGTAAGATAAGATCTTGCTGCTGCTGCTGCTGCTGATGCCTGTTCAGTTGTGCAAGTAGTTGCTGCTGCTGTTCCGTTAGCTGTTGGATTTGAGATGCTACCTGTATTGTTTCATTCACTGATGATGGCAATAATGGCTTGACCGTGTTATAGAAGGCTGTGGCAATCAAGTGTGCCTGGGCCTGCTGTGCGGGTTCTAACGACGTTTGTTTCGTCACATTTTGCTGTGTACTCAGAGAAGTAGTAGGCCTACTGCTAATGCTACTACTGACAAGACTACTTGAGCGAAGAGTGCCCACAATATTACCGGCTACTGTAACAGGAACACCCATCATGCGTGCGGCAAAAAGTTGCTCCTGTAACAACTCTTCCTCCGTTTTGCTCAACAACGTTGGCTTCGTTAAGCTAACGTGCATTCCTGGCGATGCTGACGCTGTTGATCCTTCCCTGCTGGTCACCGCTCCACTCAACATCAATGGCAATTCCTTGTCAAGGTTCAGGCTTTGCCTTGTTTGGGAACCTGCGGTCACGTCTGTGACGGTTTCTGCCCGTCCGGAAACTGGGCCACTTGTCACAGCAACTCGAAATGGAAGTTTTTTCCAGCCTTGCCCGGCGCGCACGGCGGCCGTGGAGAACAGGTCTGCTATCGGCTGGGGTAAGTTATCTTTATTCGCCATGTCGAATACAAATTCTAGTGACGAAATTCTTCATCTACAATATGTAATTTACACACATACGCCATAAACAGGTAATAAGTATCCCTTATTTCAATCAAAATGAGAGAGACTCCTTCGCAGTTTCATCTTAGATCTTTCAGTTTCAGGGCAGCAATTTGGCAGCAGGTACCCATAGTATGGTAACTGTACTACTCACGCACATCATGTACACTTATTTACTAGGGAGCCAGACTGATCTCTAGCTCGCGGCGCGAGATTTTAATGAACGTTGGTGGCGGGCTACACAATTTTCATCGACTCGGCTCCGCGCGCTCTTCGCCTTGCAACAGAAACTTTGCATACGTGCCCATGGGTTCTTGCTCTGTGGTTCAAGTTACTAAAGTTCAAACGCTATACAAATAATTTATAACAGTGATTAAAGGCTGATTGTGATGTCCAGCCCCTGGTCCAGCCCCTCCGTTTTTTTCACTTTTTCCAAAAAAATGTATGTCCCAAAAAAGTAGTCTCCTATTTTATCTTCAGTTTTTCCAATTTTTCCAATCTTTGTACGTGTACTCCGAGTTCCACTAGTCCACATGTATTTTAGATTTTCGGAAGTGAGAGGTCAATTCTTGGCACAATATTTCTCTTTCACGTTATGCGGTGCTCCAGTTTCCATAAATTGAGATGTAACTGCTGTAACAGTTTCTTAAGAAATGAATGTACCAGAAGTAATTTTTAAAACTCCGACTTGTAAACGCTAATTTTCCAATTCCAGGAGTCTGGAGCGCGCCACCAGGAGTCAACTTCAGGCTCTCAGAACGGTATTGTCGGACCACATGTTTCAACATTTTAAAGTACATGTAATTTACTCCCTATCTAAACTGTTGCTGATTTCTTTTTCGATTGACGTCTCAAAGTGAATAATTTTGTATATATGAAAAATAGCCATTTTAAAACAAAATCTGTTCAAGGTGAACTTGAAAATACGGGACATAACATCTGTATTGATTATACATGTTCACTCAACCAAAAAGAAAGTCCGCCTAATGTTTTTTTTGTCTATCTAAAAAAAATACTGGGCACCTCTTGCTCAAATAACGACAAATCAGTACAGAAATTCTTTAGCAATCCAGCCATACTCTTTATTTGGCCCAAAACGGTAATAATGTGTACGGAATTATGCAGTACATGACAGATCATACCGAAAAAAAGAAGTTGCACTTTTGTATACAGATGTACGTGCAAGTTGAGTGTAAACATTTTCGTCTCTAACGCAATCTAAACAAAAATAAATCTTAAAAACTGATTTCTAATTTTGTTCTTTTTACCCTTTCCTTTCCTGAACTTCAAATAACATGAAAAAAAAGAGTATGCATTTAAAGAAAGGGTGAAAAGATAACCAACAAAATTCGAAATTAATTTTAAGATTTTTTTGTTGGAAGATTGCGTTAGAAACGAAATGTTCTTGCACGTATACGAAAGTGCAATTTTGTTGGGGTATCATTATTTTGTCGTAAATTGCATAATTTGTGTACACATTAGGCCTATCGCTACTTGGTGCCAAATAAAGACTATGGCTGGATTGGTAAGGAATTTCTGTACTGCTTAGTCGTTATTCGAGCAAAGATGCTCAGTATTTTTTAGCGGGTCAGACAAAATAGTGTTGGGGGATTAGTTGAGTATATGATCTCTCTGAATAATTATTTGAAAACAGTATTTTTTTTCTTTTTCACCCAATAATAAGACTGTTTTTATTTTGAAAACTGTTTTAGTTACAACATTATCCCCACTCAATATAAATTGCTTCAAACCAGGCTCCCTGACAGAAATCCAACAAATAAGCAAAGACACCCACCAAGAAGCTCAGAAACAAACAAGGCCAAAAAAGAGGGACTTCAACCAGCATTCATAAATACCTCAGACAGTTTAGCCATTCCTATTGGTCGAGAGCCCGTCACGTGGCCGGTATTAAACGGATGATAAAGACATGGCTAGCTGGTCTTAAACACTTTTCCAGTGTCACAATAAAATGTGGACTCCTAAAAATCCAGTGCCTCTTATCGTTTCATTGGTTGAACGTTCACAATCCTCACGTAGGCATGCGCGACACTACCAGGGAGTTAGAATTTTATAGTTCTAAATTCAAAACGCAACGCGCCAGGTGCGTTCTGCGCGACATCGCGTAGAACATGATACGCGCGCGTCAATCTCCATAAAAGGGTTGTTTTCATCTTACTCGCCAGCTGAACACTCCATTATTTTGCAGGAGGGATGTTTCAAAAAGCATAAAGTGAATTTGTTGAACAAAATCGGGATGTTTTGAACGAATTATATGATTTTTTTTTACCGAAAAGGTATTTATGAATGGGAATAAATATGTACTCCGTCGGTATTTATCACTCTGTTTAATACCACTTAGAGTCTGGGTGCTGATAATTACCCTCGCCTCCGGCTCGGGTAATTATCAGCACCCAGACTCTAAGTGGTATTAAACAGAGTGATAAAAACCTCCGGAGCACACATTTATTCCCTTAGTAACACACACAAAAAGGTAAACACATTTTCTAAAGTAGTTCTCATAATAATATATTTGTTTTATTCAAATACAGATCTGGAAGGAACGATAATCTTTATAGCTTGACAGCACCATGCTATCTCAGAAAGTTGGCTATGAGGTTAATACATGTTCTTACAAACTATTTAATAACATAAAAAAACAGCTTTCCATAAAAAGTGAGAGAATTAGATCACTGAAACATTGGTCTTTTTTACCGTCATATTATTAGCTATGTGTTTAAAAGATAAAGTTTTATACTTGGAGGTAGAAAAGGTGTAAAGTTTAAACAAGATTACCTATGTGGATTTGGTCACTTCAGTGGATATTAATTTTTTTAAGAAGAATAAAATGAACTTTTGCAAAAAATAAAACCCAGAGATTTAACATTGTAAAAACGTCTCAATTACTAGGACAAAAAAGGCAAGAGTTTACTTAATTTGCAAATTATATACTGAGCAATCACGCGAAAAGATCCCAAAGCTCATAAAGAGTATGTTAATTATTTCAAACTCAAACTAAAAGTAAAAACGTCAACAATACTAAAACAAAAAGGCAAGAGTTTACTTAATTTCAAAATTATACAAAGCAAGACAGGTGAAAAGATCCCCAAGCTAATATTCTAAAAGAGTGCTGTATGTTACTTATTTCAAACTCAAACTAAACGTTCTTATATTATTTCTGTACAAATATTTACAGTTCAGGTTGGGCTCATGTCCAGTTTACATGTGATGGGAAGTTGGCGCCAAGATGGTGGACGAGTCAAGTCCACGTGTGACGTCTTGGATGGAGACAGCCGGGTAGGAGGCAGAGGCAGCAGGCAGCGGCAGGTTGTAGTCCAAGTAGAAGGGACTAGCCCCTGGGTAGAGGTAGGTGTATGGGTGGTAACCCTGCGCTACACCAGGCTGGAAGGCACCATAGCCCAAGGACGCCCACGGGTAATACCCCTTGGAAGCCCCAGTGATGTACTGAGCGCCGGAGTGCTGGAGGATGTGTGGTCTCGCGGAGTGTTGAGGTGCTGCAGGAGCACAGCAGGCCTGGGTGCAGACCTCCAGGTAACGGTGTTGGGCTGGCGAAGGTGGGCTCGCGGACGCCGGAGACGTGGCACTGGGCGGAGAAGCCGATGAGCTCGGAGAAGCCGATGCGTTCTTGGGACCGCTTGGCTTGCTCTTCTTGGCGGGCTTTGACGGGGAGGATTCCGGGGCTTTCGGTGAGACAGACTCTGGGGAGGAGGCACCGCTCACGGAGTCACGTTGCCTTCGGCGGAGCCTGGCACGTCGGTTCTGGAACCAAACCTGATCAAGAAAAAAAAGCAGGAGACAAATTAATAATTATTCGTCAACGAATAACATAAGTCAAACTGTGAAAGATGCACCTTTTTGTTCTTCGAATAGATGATTACATTTCCAAGTGAGGATCTTTCCTTTCTTTCATTTAACTGGCCTAATTCCTTTAGTTTGCCAAAATTTGGTTGAATGAATTGTCAAAATTGGAAAGTCCGTGCTTTATTCCGGAAAATAAATTTTGTAAAAAAGAAGGGAGAATCGCAGAAATGAAATGAATTCGAGATCGGGGCCATGTTAAAAAATTCGATTTTCAACAGTAGCATCAAATTGTTATTTTTTTTTTTCAAATTCTTTTTGCAAAGTTGCCGGCTATCAAAAAAAAGGATTTGATTTCAACAGACAGCAACGAAACAATCACATTGCACAGGGTGAGTCAACTAAGGAAACCCACATGGCAGGACCAATTGTTTAATGAAGTTCTGCATGTAGCAATTTCAAAATCTAGGATATGAAACCCCAAGTAATAAGCTTTATTTTAGTACAATAATCATTCAAATCACTCATGTACTTTTTAAGTTACGGAATTTTGAACACAGACACCGTTTTACACTTCACGGATCACAAACAAGGTAAGTGTTCATTCAGCAAAACGAAAACATTTCACATAGGGGTGTATGTGATTGTTTTGCTGAAAAAAACACTTACCTTGTTTGTGATCAGTTGAATCAAGTTTAAAATGATGTTTGTGTTCAAAATTCCGTAACTTAAAACGTACGTTAGTGATTTGAATGATTCTTATACTAAAAGAAAGTTTATGAATTGGGCTTTCATATCCTAGATTCTGAAAGTGCTACATGCAGAACTTCATCAACAAAATGAGCCAGACATTTTGGGTTTCTTTTCTTTTAGCACCCTGTATTGAACTCCTTGTGACTCCTTGTCCTCTCACAAAAAAAGTAATTTAAAACTTATCAAAACTCACCTGAACACGAGCCTCGGAGAGGTCGACGGCATCCGCCAGCGCCTCGCGCTCGTCGATGCCCGGGTACTGGGTCTTGGCGAAGAGGGTCTCAAGCCCGCTGAGCTGCTCCGGTGTGTAGTTGGTGCGGGCCCGGCGACGGCCACCGCCAACGGCCCGCTTGGATGGTACGGCTGCAGACGGCGTCTGAACGGCGGACGGCTCCAAGGGGACTCGCTGGCTCTGGGTGGTCACGGTTGACGGAGGCGTGGGCACTAGAAGGAAAGCAAAAATGTGAACAGTTTTAGAATGATAAGACATATAGAGAAAAATGTTTTAATTAGATACCAAGAAAGGAATCTTTGTTGAGCAGATCTCCGTTTTAATGTCACTCTTTTGGAAAAACAATACAGGATGAGTGAAAAAAAAAAAAAAAAAATCCAAACGGCAGGACCAATTTTTGAAAGAAGTGTTGCCTGTAGCACTTTCAAAATCTGGGATATGAAAGCCCAATCAATGAGCTTTTTTTTAGTACACGAATCATTCAAATCACAAGTGTACTTTTCAAATTCACATGCATCCCAATGAGAATTGTTTTCGATTTGCTGAAAGAACATTTCCTTTTGTGTGATCCGTGGACAGAACTATTAAAACGGTGTTCGTGTTCAAAATTCCGTAACTTGAAAAGTACGTGAGTGATTGAAATGATTTTTGTACTAAAAGAAAGCTAGCTGGCTTTCATATCCTAGATGTTGAAATTATACAGGCAAAACTTCATTAAAAAATTGGACCTGCCATTTGGGTTTCGAATTTTTGTTTTTACCCTGCATACGGAATTCTCCGTTTACCATTATGAAAATGAAAGAGGAAGACTTGAATGTTACAATTAAAAACAGTTCGCCTCAGAAAACGTACGTTACGGAAACAGTTTTTTTTTGCGAGCAGTTAACGACAACATTTTTCCCAAATTGTAACGAAATGGGACATCATTAAAAAAAAGAAGAGTTTAACAAGCAATTGTGGAAACTTCTTAAACAACTTCGGTGATGGAGGATTGACAATTTTCCATTTTTGCAGATGGAAGACCAACTTAACTAATAGTCAAAGTTGAGTATAAAAAAGAGAGAGCGAGCAACAAACGGCAAATTTATAAAATAAATGTAAATTACTTACTTGATTTGAAGAGACCGAAAACTCCATCAATTGGACGGCTACGGGGAGCTGTGGACTCGCCGATGGCTCCTGTCATCGACCGGTGGTGTAGCATGGTCGCGCCCTGGACGTCCGGGCGGCTTGCCCCCTCAAGATACACGGCAGCAGAAGACATGGTTTCACGGGCGAGAGTCTTACCGGAAACGAATTTGTGGAAGTCGATCAGAAAACTGAGTTAATTTGGCGAAAATGTCGTTTGCACTGGCGAAGCTCGAGAAGCGAATGAAGAAAGATGCTGCATGCCCGCCCCGTCTTATGCACGCTCACCATGCCGCGGCTTGCTTTGAAACAAGTCGGATCTTGCAGATTGAAACCGCCGCCCTCCATTCTGATTGGCTGGCGATTGAATGGTTGTCGGCCAGATCAAAGGAAAGAAGTGAGTGACGCACCGCCAACTTACAAGGTGATTGGCCCTATGCAAAGGACACTGTCGGTGGCATCAAAGGGATCAAGAGTACCGCTCACAGTCACGTGGGGCCGGTGTAGAGAATGGGTGCCTTGGAGTTGGAGGGGTAGTGTAGGATGTTGCTCCGTACCCAATTAAGAAGTCTGGATCAGTGATTGAGGAAAATGATTTGTCTGCACACTCGTTTAATTTTATTTCAATGTTTTGATGTTTTGAGTTTATTGGTACATTGTGAACAAAATCCTTCTCGACGATTTTCTGTGGCGAAATGCGAAGGGGGTGGGGGGGGGGGGGAGAGGGACCGACGAACCCCTGCCATAAGTAAACGCGCACCTGCTTTCGACTGTCTCATAATTTTATGGGACAAGTTTTAGAGACGGGGGGAAATGATTCCTAAAGAAACCTATAGATAGCGCTAGCTGCCACCAGGCGAAATATAAATGTAGTTCAGGCCTAAAGCCCCGAAGTTTCGCCTCTCCGGTTTAGCAATTCTCGATATAGGTGACGTGGATTCTGGTCAAAAGATAAGACGAAGTTACCTAGTTTTTAGGAGTCCAGAAATTCAGAACAAAACTCTAACAATTAATTAATCCAGATCCGCAACTCCAATAATATCAGAGCAATATGATACAGAAAAGTGGGCCTTATGCACTTATGCAAAAAAGTTGGCCATTTTTGTCGTGTTCCCTAAATGTATTTCATAAATTGTGAACTGTTGAATGGGATGGTGCCAGACTATTTATTCGCTATAGCCTCACTTTCATTTTTATTTGTTTTTGAAATGTGGCTTTAAACATTAAAGTAGATTTAATCACAAATGTTTTATTATTCATCAGATTTGTAACGTCATTGCTTTCATTTCTTTACACAAGTTCCAAAATAAAGATTTTACCTCACTCTCAATTTAAAATGGCTGACTCATGAATAAGGTCCATGGATCAATGTATCGTTTAATCCTGTCCAATCAATTCACAAGGTAAAGATTCTGCATCGTTTAAGCCTATTTTCACTAATTCCCCGTGCCTTTCTTGAAATCAGTGGCGTAGCCAGGAATTTTTCAGTGGGGGGCGCTGGGGGGCTGGAACATTATCAATGATAATTTTTTTAGAAACTCAAAATCTCAGTGGGGGGGGGGGGGGTGACTGGGGGCGGCAAAGTTTCACGGGGGGGCTGTCGCCCCCCCCCCCCCACACCCCCATGTGGCTACACCACTGCTTGAAATACAACTTAGTTTATCCTCAAGAATAAATAGCCCACTCTAAATTCCTCGAAATGCGACTCTTTAGGCCGGTGCATACCTATTTTGTTCCCCAGTACCGATGTTCCCCAATACCGATGTTCCCCGAAATCCTTACCATTATTACCCTAACCCAAACCCTAACCCTAATCATAATGATTTCGGGGAACATCGGTATTGCCGGAACATAGGTATTGGGGAACATCGGGTAGACCCCCTTTAGGCCACAGGCCTCTAGTACTCATCAATGATAATCCAACTCAGAAGCCTGACTCCACATAAATCTCAACAGCTCCGCTCCCCCGAAAACTTTGCTTCCCAAAACTGCTCCCCAAACCCTTGAGCAACTTTAGCGTTTAGAACCGCCGTGCCCATTGTTCGTTGATTTTTTTCAGTGAATGAATGGGATATGTTACAACGATGTACACAAAGCTCATAGTCGACGTCATTCTGATTGTTAGGGCACCAGGCGAAGTGGACTGACAGAGGACGGGGAGGTGGGGGGGGGGGGGGGGGGGGGGGGGGGTGCCGCCATTGGGTGAGGGGTGAGATTGGAGCTCATTATTTTGACGATAAGGTGTATGCGCTCACCCTTTTTGTTCCACTTGTATTATGAATGGTTCACGAAACCATGAATGAAAAGGGGATGAATAGAATGCAGGCATGCATCAATTTCAAAATCGTCTGATTTTATTATAAAATAACTAATTTCAAGAAACCTGCATTTTCCTTTTTTGGGGGTTAAATACTTTTATTTTTTGTGTTTATGTACATGGTTCCGTATGTGGCAGTAAACAAAATAGAACAATTATAGTCCTCATATAAGGAAGCTTTTAGAAATCTATCTTCCCCATAAGGGAAACGCTATGGAGTTTGAGATTTAATTAGGAACAAAGGAGAACAAAAGAAGGGAAACAAAGGTCTTCCCTAAATGAGCCCGTATGTGACCATTTGTGTGTTTGTGGATGGGGGGAGGGGGTATATTTGTTAAGGCAAATTAAACGATAGCCTTGAAATCGCTAAGATCTTGTTCAATCTCGAACCTCTTTTACTAACGAGGAGTCAAAATTGGCTTAGCTCTCCTCGGGAAAGACTCGGAGCCTATTTTCAAAGTTAAGTTCTAGAAACTATTAGGGTTAATAGTCATCTGATTTTGTTTAATTTGGCATACTGCATCTAATCTTTCGTGATGGTTTACATCCGATCTATTCCATAGAAGCTGTTAGCATAGCTTGTGTGCGCATTATCAATGGCTGATCAACATCCAGTTGTCACTTCGAACGTAAGACCCCGTTCCCACTTGATCCACCAATTGGGGGATCTGATCCACCTTTTGCCAAATTGCCGGATCAGATCCCCCAATTGGTGGATCAGATCCGGCAATTGTGTGTAGTGGGAACGCTAACCGTTATAAGGTGGATCAGGATCAGATCCACCTTTTCTGATCCACCTCTGGACCAGGATACAGATCCCCCAATTGGTGGATCAGATCCGGCAATTGCCGGATCACGATCAGATGGGAACGCAAAAGGTGGATCTGATCCGGCAATTTGACCTGTTAACATCCGCCCGGTGCACGAGTGGCGCGAAAATGTTGCGGTCTCATGAACGAAGAAACACGTTTCAGGCGTGTAGCTCATGTGAACATTTCCAGCGTATACAACATGCACAATAAACAACTGCTGAACTACGGAATAGCACCGCGCATGCAAAAGCGCACGTGGTATCCTAAAACTACACTAGGCCTTATTTTTGTTGCGTGTTCGTTCATTACTAAACCTTTTTTCATTCGTGAAATTTTACTTATTTTTCCATCCATAAATGACTCTGAGTCCGCACTCACCAAAAGACTTCACTTTGGCACAGAATCATGGAAAAGCTTACGAGTATGCGATGAGAATAGTGCCGATAACGCGGTACGTACTGAGGTGACAAATCTGAAGTATTGATTATAGAAAATTGGAAATGATGTCGTAGTACATCATGTGACCGTTTCTAACCAATGAGAAGCTTCAGAACCAGGGAATCCCTTATCGATGCATTGGTTTCTGCCGTGATGTCACACAATGAGCGGCTCTGATCTGTTGGATTTCACCTGTTAATTTATGCACGCACGGATCCTCTACGGATCCGTGATTTATGTTGGTGAATTCGCGTAATTTTTGTCGGTGAAGTCTGATAGTGCTGTTTGAAAACTGACCCATCCTGGTCTAGCATGCAACCATGCAACAATGGCACTCCCACAGAGCGCGCGTAATTCCGAGCTCAGTGACCTTTCGGACCCGGCATTTCCGTACGAAAAGGTGGATCAAGCATAAGTGGGAACGCGTCTTGCGGTTTCGTTGCGGTAAGATAACGATCACACCAAAATGCAGGACTTGATCCACCTTTTTCCAATTCAAGTGGGAACGCGGTGTAAGCCGTCAACGAAACTGAGCCTAATTAATTAGAATGGTCAATAAACAGTTGTGAATTACTGCTGGGAATTCGCGCGTAACTTGGGATTAAGTGTAATACAAATAACAAATTACACTTAACCCCTCATCATGACGAGTCCATATTAAAGGGGTATCATATCAGACAATTGAGGATCATTTTACGTTATAAATTGGGTTGGGGGTTGCAATCACCCTTCAGCCGCTGACTAAATGCGCCAAAGAAAAATAATTGAATGCTAAAGAGTCTCTAAATGTTTTCTCAAATGAGAATTCAGGAGAAAGCATCATAGATTTCCAGTTCCCCCTCTCCCAGAAAGGCGTGCCTTCGAAACGCCTTCACTCAACCCCTTCATAACCCCGCCCCCTCGCCTGTTACCTGGTCAAAACAAACTAATTAGAAGTTCTCAAACTCTACAGGGTGAGTAAAAAAAACCAAGAAACACAAATGTCGCGACTATTGTTTTAGTGAAGTGCTGCATGTAGCACTCTCAAAATCTAGGATATGAAAGCCCAATTCAAAAGTTTTCTTTTAGTACAAGAATCATTCAAATCACTTATGTGCTTTTCAAGTTACAGAATTTTAAACACAACCACCGTTTCAAAGTTCTGTCCACGGATGACACAAAAGGTGTGCGTTCTATCAGCAAAACGAAATGTGATTTGTTTTCGTTTTGCTGAAAGCACACTTACTTTTTTGTGATCCGCGACACAACTTTAAAACGGTGTTTGTGTTTAAAAGTCCGTAACTTGAAAAATACATCAGTGATTTGAAAGATTCTTATACTAAAAGAAAGCTTATGAATTGAGCTTTCATATTCTAGGTTTTGAACGTGCTACATTTAGAACTTTACTAAAACAATTTTTTTTTACTCACCCTGTATACTCTTCAGATATAGGTTTGAATGAGTGCAGAAAAGTGTTACAAACTTGGAAACAAGAACAAAAGAAGCTTCCCAAAACCATTACAATGCGCCATGAAATCGGCATCTTCCAGTATGCATAATGATGGTCAGTTTTGATGAGCGCCCTCTTTTTGGAGACGGGTACCCCCCCCCCCCCCGTGCGGTGCCCCCTACTGTTTTTCTAGCAGTACAAACGTTATTCACCTTTGATTGAGACATTGCACAATATTATATCCACCAACACGTTTCCTTTATTCCTAACTCAATCTATCGGGTGTTGGAGGATATTGATG